TTCTGCTGCTAGGAGGCGCTCCTCGAGGAGGTCAACGGTGAGGGTGGTGGGGCAAACAGAGAGGAAGTGGTCCCTGACCGAGCGAAGGGTGTCAGGGAGCCGGGTGACTATGTAGTAGAGGGTGATGTACATAGGGGGGGGGTTCTTGGCGCAGAACTCAGCAGGAAGCGCAGCGCGGTAGCGAATGTCACTAGTGCGAAGGTGCGTAATGAGGTCAGCGACTGTGGGAAAAGCGGCGAGGTCAGGGAAGAGGTACGGCAGTATGAGGCGGCTAAGGGCAGCAGTGGCAGGGGAAGAGTAGCGTGCAACGACAGCGTCGTACAAGGTCTTAGCACTCTTGTACTGACTAAAATGCGCGCGCTCAGCGGTCGGTAAGTGGCGGCGCACAGCAAGGCGAGCAGCAGCATCGCGCATGGCCCACTGTGAGCGAACAGTGGCGTCAGCATCAGCAGCAGGGGCAGGAGAGGCACCAGAGGTGAGGTCAAACAGAGAGAGACCGTCTGCCCTATCGCACTGTAGGAAAAGCTGCAGATCATCTACCCAGACCTCAAAGTCAACAGCCCGACCCTCAGCGTCAAAGGTGAGAACACTGGGGGTGGCCATGACAGCAGTAGACTGGCAGAGAGAACAGCGGGGTAGGGCAGTGCAGTGGCAGAGGCGCTGCTCTTACCAGGCAGGTGGGGCGGGCCGAGGCAGGCCGGCAGGGACAGGGCCGCGACTGCAGGGACTGCGGCGTCTCGGCTGCGGCGGCGTGGCGGCTCGGCGACTCGGCTGCAGGGCGGCTCGGCGGCTCGGCGGCTTGGCAGCTCGGCGGCTCGGCGGCTCGGCAGCTCGGCGGCTCGGCGGCTCGGTGGTGACGGCGGCTCGGCTGCTCGACGGGGCCGGGAAGGGCGGCTGAGGGGCCGAGGAAGGGCGGCAGGGCCGCGAAGGGCGGCGACTGGGGCCGCAAGGGGCGGCAACGAGGCCGCTGAAGGGCGGCGACGAGGCCGCTGAGGGGCGGCGACGGGGCCGCTGAAGGGCGGCGACGAGGCCGCGAAAGGGCGGCGACGGGGCCGCGGAAGGGCGGCAATGGGGCCGCTGAAGGGTGGCGACGGGGCCGCGGAGGGGCGGCGACGTGGCCGCTGAAGGGCGGCGACGAGGCCGAGAGGGGCGGCGACGGGGCCGTAAGGGGCGGCGACGGGGCCGTAAGGGGCGGTCGCGGGGCCGTGAGGGGCGGCGACGGGGCCGTAAGGGGCGGTCGCGGGGCCGTGAGGGGCGGCGACGGGGCCGTAAGGGGCGGTCGCGGGGCCGTAAGAGGCGGACGCGGGGCCGTAAGGGGCGGCGACGGGGCCGCTAAGGGGCCACGCGGGGCCTAGAGAGGGCAGCGACGGGGCCTGAGGGGCCGCTAAGAAGGGCGCGACGGGTCGCTAAGGGCGGGACACTAGGCGCGCTTCGGGCAGGGGCGGCACGCGCCCCGGGTAGGAAAAAAAAATCTCGGTGGGCCCTAGGAACAGTTCCCACGAGGGAACCTGCTCGATACCATGAGAAACTTAGAACGAGAAATGGATTGACTAAGGAATGAAAGTGATACAAATATGAAACCCTATAATTGTGTACCCCTTAGTATCTAACCCGCTATAGCCTACACAGGCTAGATCATATAAGTTTGACACATACAAGCATTGATAGTCGTAACTGTAGCTGATGGGCCTAGACAGCAGCCTGCCGTCGTACCCATCCTGACAGCTTAAGGGGGATGGAAAATCGTGCGCGGGTTGGCCCAGATGGAGGTGAAGCCACTGGTCCACGCAAGCGACTTTGCCGAGTTGTCACAGATTCTGCTCACCAGACGGAATTCGTCCGGATCCAACCGCTCCAGGATAGAACGTTGCCCCGGCCCCAGCATGACTCCTGCCCGTTTACTCCCTTTCTTCGCCCGAAGATAGATTCTCACGTGAGTGTAGAAAGCCGCTGCAATCCTTCGCAGCACCCTCCTGGACCGAAACCTCCCTCTCTCAAAAGCCGCGTCACACCTTTCCACCCAAATCTTATGAAGGGCGATAGCTGTAATTGTAGATTCTGGGAAGCCCGAACCCGAGCTCTTCTTCTGATACAGTAGATCCCCCAACGAAGTAATTTTCCTGCCCGGGTTAATCATCCGAAGAGCCTTCAGCAGCCCCTGCACCACTGGTTGGATCCGGGGGCAGCTGAACAAACAGTGCTCTGCTGTCTCCTCCTCACCACAGTGCGGGCACGCCACCTCCTCCATTTATTTTAGCCTTACCCCAACCTGTAGGTTTCGACAATGTAAGCGAAGCAGGACATCGCGGGCTCGGTTCGGAAGCACCGCGGAGTCCCGCACCCTGATGACTCTCTTCCAATCAATCACCTTCCCCCACTCCTCAGACCATTTCTCTTGTTGCTGCATCTCCCCTTGCTGCGCGCCGAAAAGCAGCCTCAACTGTCTGAAAGGGGGGATCTGGTCATCCATGCAGAGCTCCGAGCAGCGCAGCCGTACCTCAGGCAGGCCACCCGTGTGAAGAAATGAGGAAGGAATGGAAGAAGAGGGGGTTGCACTAGCAGCAGTTGGCATACATATAGGAAACCCTAATTGGGTTGTACTCGCTATAGAGTACCCCACTGCAGGCTAGACAATTATAACATTCTGACAACCCGCTCCAATCACCCTTCCTCCCCTCACCATCAACGGCTCCACTTTATCCAGTGCAAGAACCGCAGTTGCCTCCGCCGCCCCCACCAGAGGCACGGCGAAACAGTCACACGCGTGGCAGACAAGGCCATCTTGCACCACCTTCTCTGCTTTCCAGACTCCCACCAAACCCTTCTTCTTTACGAAGGCCGACTCCGCCAAGAATTTTTCCCCCGTGATCGGCGCTATCAGCTTTGCCTTCCAGGCTTCCGGGACGCTAGCAAAAACTTTGAGCGCCCTTCTCGCTTTCTTGCGCGTACCCAGTTCCTTCGTTAGCAGCTCCTCGTCCTTGGAAAAGAGGGCGCCATCCTCCGCTCGACCGACAAAATCACCAAGCTTCAATAATTCCAGCCCTTTCGCCGCTTCCTGTCGTCCGAGTGGCTTTTTTCCATTCGGCAAGATCTGCCGATTGTACACCAGTGGCTCTTGCGCGATGTCCCAGCGCGAGACCGGGCCTTTCTTTGCAACGCTTGACCGCATAAACATTTCACAGGTCTGCTTCCATCTGACGCTCCTTCCTTCCCATGTTTTCAGGAACTCCGGGTGTGCCCAGAAAGAGCGGAAACCGGCCGGCAGGTCAGCCGCCTTCATCGCCAGCCAACTGCGTACACCTCGTCTGACCAGCACCAGTTTCCCCACCCTTCTAGCGGCCAGGCCACGGAGAAGTTCGCATCGCAATCAAGTGTACCGCTCCGTACCGAACTATACCAAAGTTTGATTTTTGTTGACAATGTTCGATGCTTGGGTGAAATTTGGTGTAATACGATGCAGTGTAGTAGAGTCAATTGTGACGCTAACTTTTGTCACATGTCAAGGCCTGAATGTTCCCTAAGGAATTACAATTCCTTACAGTGGTCTTCTACAGTCACGACTGAGAATGTATGCACTTCTTTTAGTGTAATATCATTCACAAAAAAAAAGTGGTCTTTGACATTATCATTGCAAAACACTGGCCAAAAAAATATATTTCCCTAATAGCTACAACTCAAGTCTCAACATAAACACAATCAAGCGCAACTCAGGTGACTGAGTACATTATTTCCTCGATACTAACATGCCCATTTAAAGCCAGGGTCTCAAGCAAAGCAGCCCTCAACCGCAAAGCAGTTGAAGCTAGGTTACCTAGTTAGTGCAGGCGAATTTCTCTTTGGTTGGGTTGGAAACCTACCCCCGTCAGTGCCTCAAAAGCAATTGCACAAGTTTCGAGTACTTGAGACTTTCGACGATTCCGGGGAATTTTAGGTTTGGATCTGAACCAAATTTACAAACCTAGAAGGTTCGGCTACACCTAGCGATTTGGATTCGTTTCGTACCCTTCGCTTCACCCCTCTTCAAACCTCACAACTCGCCAACCAATCACAAACAAACTTGCACTGTCAACTGCAAAACACTTGTAGTACGTGAGACCCTGGCTTTAAAAGCTCCTACTCAGGTCAAACAACGAAAGTGCGTGCCGCACGAAGGGGGTGACTGACTGCGTACACACACCTTTATTTTTGCATTTGCACGCACGCACAATCGCATGTACCATACAGCCCAGTTTATATGTTATTTTCCAGAATCCATATGTTTTTGCAGTACCAATGCATCCCTTTCCAGCCAAGAAGCTATGTACATGGCAGTGCATGCACAGATGCACAAGCACAACTACCCAGTCAACTCCAGCAACCAGTACACTACTGCCATGCAACTGGCAAGAAACCTAGTTGGGCAAGTAAGGCAAGGCATGCCTAAGGCAATATAGCCCAGTTTTCAGCCACAAAACCACATTATCTGGTGCCCCATGGAGAAACGGAATGTGACAAGATGCCTGTCTCCCCCCCTCTCCGTTCAAATGTCCCTTCACTTCTCAACTGCCCGTTTCTTCCTTTCATCCTCCTCATGCTCCCCTTCCGCGCACAACCAACTACCCTTCACTACACACCCCTCACGCTCTCTTGACAAGATGCCTCTCTCCCCCGATTGCATCCTTTCCCACTCCCCCTAAGCCAGTCGTTGCCATGTCACCTTTCCCCCACTCCCTGCACCCCACCTGGTTCCCTTCCTCCCTTCACCACTCACTGCTCTCCTCAAATGGACATAACCGTCGGCTAAAGCTATCGCTAGAGCCGTCAGCAACAGCTATCAGCAACAGCTGTTGAATTCAAGTGTCTGCTACAGCCGTGTGTCAGCTACAGCTGCTGGATGTAGAAGGCTTCCTGCTTGTTGGTGATGCCCAGACCTGCCAGGGTCGCGACTTTTGAGGCGCCTCAGAAGCTGCTACAGCAGTCAGCCCAAGCAGTTGGCCACAGCAGTCAGCGACAGCAAAAAACTAGAGCTGCTGGATGTAGAAGGCTTCCTGCTTGTTGGTGATGCCTAGATCTGCCAGGGTTGCATGCGCCTCTGCTGGCTGAAACACACGCCGGGGAAACTGCCTTGCCTGCAGCAGGGAGACAGGTGGGAGGGAGGAGCGAGAGAGGAAGGCGAAAGAGAGAGAGGAAGGCGAGAGAGAGAGAGAGGAAGGAGGGAGGAGCGGGCAGGAGAGAGGGAGAATAAGGAGAGTGGGAGTATGACCCAGGAGAATGAGGAGAGTGGGACAAAGGAGAGAGCGAGGAGAGAGGGAGGAGAGAGGAGGATGAGAGAGGGAGGAGCGAGAGAGGAGAGAGAGAGGTGCGAGGGAGGAGACAGGGAGGGGAGAGGGAGGAGTCGGGGGGGGGGGGGGGGGGGAGAGAACGAGGGGAAAGAGATGGGAGAGATAAGCAGCACAATCACCTTCAGGAAGGGCACAAGGCACGGCTGAAGGGGGTAACGAGAGGGACTGTGTGTAGAGGGAGGAGATGAGGGCGCCTAAGATGCGCAGGAGTAACGCGGATAGCAGACAGGCTTACGATGGTGTCGCACGGGCGCAAGAAAGTGCAGAGCAGACCGTGATGGGAGGTTATGCAAGGCAGGCTTACGATGTTGTATGTGTTGGGCTTGACTAGCTTGCTCACATCCACATAGTCAAAAAGCGCCTGCATGGATGGCAGACGCGGGGAGGACGAAGAGCGGGGGAGGGCAGGGGGAGGGCGGGAGGGAGATAAGAAAACGGTTGAAGGTGAAAAGGGATGATGGAGAAAGCATTGTGAGGCTGTGCTGCTTGAGCCGAGGAGGAGAACAGAGAGAAATAAAGAGACAAGCGGAAACAAGGGGAAACAGGCAGGGAAAAGAAAAAAAGAGATGCAAAATGAAGGGGAGCAAGAGCTTCACTTAGCCAGCGATAATTTTGAGGTTAGCACTATTGCAGAACAAAAGCTAGTTGGTACAATATAACAGAGCTAGCCAGCACCACGCTAGATGCTATGCTACCCAGCATTGTACATCAAGACCACCTTGAAATCAACAAGTCCCAGAATCACATCATCATCACCTCATGAAACCCTCTTTTCTCTAGCCCCAACTCTCAATCACCTGTACCGCTGCCTGAGGAGCTTAGGAAGGAAACATCAAACCATGGCCCACGGCCTCACTCATCTGCGGCTTGGGTATAATACAGACGAAGTGCCATGCCATGCCAACTACAGACAGGAAACTGCCGCAGGTGCCAGCCAACTACTGAACGCTAACCACCAGCAATGCCCTCGGCCCCTCACCTGTAAGGTATCTGAAGTAAGGAAGCGGCGGCTTAGGCGGGAGCCGTCTGGCAGGCGCAGCATGAGAGTGATTGCGCCCTCCTCCCCTGCTGCTGGCTCCACAGGTAGTGAAGCCTCTTTTGCTGCCAGCTGCCGCTGCTCCTCCTGCAGAACGCAAGTGGGTGAGAAGGATGGTGAAAAGCAGGCGAATTTGAATAAAAGGTCAGTGAATGGGCGCAGAATGAGAAGAGAATGCGCCCTCCTCGTGAGAGCGCGCTTGCATGAAATAGCAGCTGTGGGAACCAAACAAACAGGAAGAGCTTGAAAATGTTGCCTGAAGAAAGGCGCCTGAAAGCCCAACCCATCAGCCTTGCCAGCCCTTCAAAGCATGACATAAAGGCCTCAAAACACTATCATCATCGTCCCCCTCACCTCCTCCTGCTCCCTCTGCCGTCTCAACCCGTCCTGCCGCTCCTGCTCCTCCTGCTGCTGCCTCTGCCGCTCCTCCTCCTCCTTCCTTCGCGCTGCCTCCTCCTTCTCCTGGTCGGCTATCAGTGACTTGAAATACTCCTCGTCCTGCTCACAGAACGGGGGCACAGCAAGTGGGAGGGTACACAAGGGAATGTCTCGAATAAGACATCTTATCAAAACACTCCTTCTCCTGGTCGGCTATCAGTGACTTGAAATACTCCTCGTCCTGCCCACAGAATGGGGGCAAGCAAGTGAGAGGGAGGGTACGGAAGGGAATGTTTCATTGAAGGCACTTCATCTCCTGGTCTGCCAGCAGTCGTCCTCCTTTCTCCGCCTCCGCCTCCGCCTCCGCCTCCTCCTCCGCCTCCTCCTCCTCCTTCTCCTGGTCGGCTATCAGTGACTTGAAATACTCCTCATCCTGACCACAGGTGAGGGGGAGCGAGGGGGGGGGGGGGGGGAGGGCACGTTCGAAGGCAGGCGATGACTATATAGGGCCATACAGGATAGCCCTCGTACCTCCTATAAACTCTTCCTCTTGGTACAGAAGGCATGAGGGAGGGTTGGAGATTGGAAACGGAGAGAGTAGGGAGGGGGAGCGAGCGGGGGATGAGGAAAGCAACGTTCACAGTTCCGCAGTTGGGCTGCCTCACAGCAATTGCGCAAGGCGGCACAATAAGGGGCATGTGGGCGTGGAAGGCAGTGGGGAATGGTGGAGGTGAGAGTAGAAATGCGCATGCTTCAAGCCCACTCTGAGCTGAGACAAACACGGGCCTCCATGCTTAAAAAAAAATCCCACTCTTGAGACAAACATGAACTCTCCCTTGCTCGCTTGCACTGCACCCCACGCCAACCCACCCCCCAACCCCATGCCATCCCATGCCTGGCCCATGCCTCACCTCACCCCCTACCCCACAATGCCCCATGCCACCTCTCGCTCATTAGCCAACTACCCTCTCACCTGCTCCTGTCGCAGCAGCCTCTCTACAACATGCGTGGGAACCCATTTCCCCCACAACCCACCCACCTTTCCCCTCACAATCTCTCCTCACACCCTCTCACCTGCTCTTGCCTCAGCAGCCTCTCTTCCAGCATGCGTGGCGACGGCGGCCGTGCTGCCTGCTGCTGCTGCTGCTGCTGCCGCCTCTGCTGCCTCCTCCATTCCCTCGCCCACTGCCCCAACCCCTCCTCATCCTCCTCCTCCTCCCCTTCCTCCCGTTCCTGCCCCTCCCCCTCAACCCCGCCTTCCCCTCCACCTCCAACCCCTCCCTGCCCATATCTCCCCCCCAAACCCACACCTCCCATCGAACCTCCTGCGCCCATGTCTACCAACCCTCCTCCATATTGCCGCCAAGAGTGGGGTCTACGCGGGAGATACGCGGACCCGTACGGTGCCCCGGCAGCAGCAGCGGCGGCTGCAGCAGTAGAAGCGTCGGCGGCATAAGCAGCAGAGGCGGAGAGAGATGGGTGCATGGGCATGGCAGTGCCTGTGACGCCAGTAGCAGCAGCACCAGCGGCAGCAGCGGCAGCAAGAGCAGGGTCATGGTCGGGAAGGGGGGTTCCGAACATGATTGCTTCCATGATTCGCGCCTCCTCCTGCTCTGCGTGGGATAGGCCCTGCACATGTAGAGGGAGGGATGGATGGAAGGTATGGATGACGGAGAGATGGACTTATGAGATGTCTCAGATGAGACGAGACGCACAGTGGTGGTTGCGGAAGGGGAATTACATCTAATCATAACATGATCGCTCTCAAGATATTCTGTGATACGTGCCACTTCCTGTTCTGCATGGGACAAACAGACCCTACACATGTGGATGGAGGGCAAGGTGGGATAAATAAACGTCAAGGGATTGGTTTTGGATGCATATTCTGGCCCACTCACATGGTGGCATGCTGGCACGCTGACATGCTGACATGCTACTTGCATGTACTCACCCCCAAATGATCATGCGCAGCAGTGGGTGCTGCATCCGCCCCATCACCATCACCAGCAGCAGCAGCAGGAGCGGCGGCAGCAGCAGCGGCAGCAGCAGCAGCGGCCGTTTCAGCAGCAGAGGCCTCTTCAACCGCCCGCATCACTGCTGCTACCTCCTCCTGACTCATCCCATTCGCATCCATCCCACCAGCCGCCCCACCATCTCCCCCACCCACCATTCCTGCCATTGTCCCCTCCATACCCTCCCCTTCCGCCCCTGCTGCTGCTGCTCCACTTTCCGCAACCCGGGAACTCCCACCAGACTTCTCGCTTCGCCATGCGTCTGCTGCTTCTCCAGCTGCTCTCGCTGCTTCTGCAGCTGCAGGTGCTGCCGGGAGAGTGTGATTGACCTCAGGGTGAAACGCGGACTGGTCGGATTGCCATGGCGACTTGAACTTACCCCTGCCACTGCCAAACCCGCTCCCACTCCCAACGCCGCTGCTAAACCCACCACCAGCAGCAGCACCAGGAGCAGCAGCAGCTGAACCTGATCGCCCTTCATTCGCCTCTCTGCCCCCTCCGCCTCCCCCTCCCCCTCCCCCTCCCCCACCTCCGTCAGCAGGGTGGTAAGGATGGTACACACGGCGTCGCATGAGCGGCTGCACCGGCTCCTCTTCCTCGTCTTCCTCCTCCTCGTACCCACCACCACCACCACCTCCACCGCCCCGTCCGCTCTGGGTTGAATATCCTGCCACGTGCGGCCAGGAAGGCAACACCCCTGTTCCTGCTCCGGCTCCTGCTCCTGCTTCTGCTCCTAACCCTAATCCTCTTCCTGCCACTTCTGTTGCTGCCGCTGATGGTGGTGCAGGTGGTAAGGGTGCTGTTTCAGGTACTGTGAACGGAGGCTGGAGTGAGGCTGTGGCAGACTGATTCCTTGATGCTGCTTCCTCCTCTGCCGTCTGCAACAAAGGGAGATTGGGAGGAAGGGGGCGGGGGAAGTAGGAAACGGGAGCTACGCTGTTACGGTAGGTCATGCGGTGTGCAGCAGCAGGAGGGAAAGAGGGGCGAGGAGGGAGGGGAGCGGGGAGTGGTACAAGGGAAGAAAACGCGAAGGTAGAAAACACAGAACGGATCTGGCAGTGGATAGACAGAGAGACACGCGATGGAGTGTGAGAATAATATAATAAGCAGGTCAATCGATGTATGAAACGAAATGAACAAACGAGACTTTGAGTAAACCAGACGCCATCCATTTTAGAGGCCTAAACCCCACACCTCAAACCCTACTCCTTGCCTAAGCTCGTTTCGTTCTTCAAGTGAGTGCCACTGCCTACCTTGATCGGGGCCTACCAAGAAAACGGCCTGCCTGCATGGGGCGCCTAGCTTGATAAAGAGTGCTGTTGCCCACATCACATCACATCACATCACATCACATCACATCACATCACATCACATCACATCACATCACATCACATCACATCATCATCCTTCCCCTTTGCATCGCAACATCTCAGAAGAATATTTTCCGTTTTAATCTACGAGAACACCTCTAGGTTCACAGCTTTAACCAGAAAATAACGAATCGACGTAAAGACTGTATTTCTTTCGCCACAAGCTTGCTTCTCAACTACTGCTCGCCTAGCTTGATAAAAGGAAGGAAGGAAGCGCCTACCAGGGCAGAGAGAAGATCATACCCTGACAGGTAGTGCCAATAGCGCGCATCACAGCGTCATCCTCATCCTGATCCACATCCATGGGACTTCTGAAACGTCTCCAAACATAAGACAAGCGCCTACCAGGACAGAGGGCATACGCATACCTTGATGGAGAGTGCAATAGCGCGCATCACATCGTCATCCTCATCCTGATCCACATCCATGGGTGCTGCTGCTGATGCAGGGACCTGGAGCGTGGATGTGGGGAATGGGGGTGGCGGGTGAGTTGAGTTGAGGGAGTGTTTTGGGACGTCCCGACTCAACTCGTGGCGACGCACATGGCGACACACAACACACATGGCGACACACAACACACATGGCGACACACAACACACATGGCGACACACAACACACATGGCGATACACAACACACATGGCGACACACAACACACATGGCGACACACAACACACATGGCGACATGGCGAGCCCTTCAGAGACATGGAGGAGGAACCAACGAGCCCTTAAAAGACTCACCATGGTAGCAAACCCTGTTTCCTCTGCCTCTCCACAGAACACCCCCCCTGTTCCTGCTCCCATTCCTGCTCCTGCTGCTGCTCCCAACCCTGCTCCTCCAGTCGCTTCGCCTACACCTGGTTCCTGAACCAACACTCGCCCCCTCGCCCACTCCCCTCCCGTCACACCTTCACCCACGCCCCCTAACCCTCGCCCTACTCCCGCAGCACCTGCACCCACACCACACGCACCGGCACCACCAGCAGCACCATCATCACCATCCTCCACCTCCTCAATACGCACTCCACCACTCTGATTCCACTGCTGCTGCTCCTGCTGCTGCCCTTGCTCCTGAGACGCTAACCCAAACGGGCCAAACCCAACTCTCCTCCCATACCCTCTGTCAAAAGCCTCATCAAAACCAGCCCCCCTACCCTCCCCAAAACCCTGACCCCCTCCTAAACCCCTCTGGCCGCCACCACTCATGTACCCCCTGCCGCCAGCACTGCCGTTACCGTTACTGGCAGCATCATCCCACTGGTTCGGAATCTCCCGAACCTCCCGAGGCTCGGAGATGATAGGTGCGGAGGTGGGAGCGCGAGCAGTCGCAGGGGCACGAGAGGTGGGCATGAGACGATCAAAAGCAGAGCCTGTCATGAAGGGCCGCACAGGGTTCAGGCCCTCATACTCCTCCTGCTGCGCCTGCTCCTCCTGCTGCTGCATCCCTCCTATCCCTGCTAATCCTGCTGTCCCCCGCGACTCCACTCCACCCAGAGTCTGCCCGTGGAAGGTGCGAGGGCGTGTGGTGGCCGCAGCAGGCGGCGGCTCGCTGGTGAGATCGATGGCATCAGTGATTCTGAAAGAAGGGAGATGCGGGGAGGAGGGGGCGGGGGGTTGGAGAGGAGGGACGATGTAATATGAGCAGTAACTAGACTTCGATAGAAACTTGACTTGAATGTACGGAAAGAATCAACAAACTGCTCATGAGTTGACTCAACAAACTGCCTGGCCATATGCTCCTCAGTGAATTGGAGAACACATCGAATGGACGATAATATGCTTGCAGAAAAAACATGCACTGCACGTGCACAAAAGACAGACGCGTGGAAGCAAAGCAAGGTTACAAAAGCGCACATGCATGCACTCGCATGCACACGTTGTTTTTTTACTCTCAAAAGCATGTGCATGTCTGCAGATAAAACAGCATGTGCTGTGCATGTCCGCAGCTACAGCACGTGCAGGCAGGTAAATCGTGGAATTCAACCGGTGCTAACACCCTAAGCGTGAGATAACTACACGGCAGGCCTATTCACACACACGCACATACACACACAAAACTATAAGATGGCCGACCCATATAAGCGAGCAGCAGTAACAGAGTAAGGGGCTGACACCACAAGGCGAAGAGATTTACCCGTTCCCAAGGCCTCCACCCTCATCCCCTCCATGCTCCAGAAAGAAATTCACTGCTAACTGCAGATCCCAATTATGTGCCTGTAGCGAGACAGCGCGTAAGGGGAGAGAAACAGAAACGGAGAAACACGGGGCATGCCCTGAAGAGTGGGAACGCGGGGTCGAAGGTCGGGATTGACTTGGGGAGCGAGGATGGAAGGAGGGAGGAGTAGAACGTTAGGCGATGGGAGGATAGGGAGTTGAAAAAGGAAAGACTAGGCAATAGGAGGATCGGCTGTTAAAGAAGGGGAAGACGAGGCGATGGGAACGGGGAGCGGGATATGAGACACGTACTTGTAAAAAGGAGAAGTGGGAGGGAAAGGAAAGGGGGGGAGGGAAGGGAGAGACGGATGAGAGGGACGAGAAGGGTGAGAAGGACGGGGTGACGAGGGCATCAAGGGCTAGGTGATGGGAGCACCTCAACGTATTTCCGCGCCATGCGTTGCGGCTTGCCGTTTGTTTTAAGAAATCGAGAAAAACAAAAAGGTTTCCAAGGAGAGAGCGGAAAGGAGCACCTCAAGGTATTGCCGCGCGACGCGTTCCGGCTGGGCAGTGATGGCGACGAATTCCGCCACGATCTCCGGGCTCTCCATCTCCCGCTGCAACCGCGGCGACGCTTACGACGCAATCGGCGACGCTGGCGACGAGATCGGCGACGCGGACGACGCGATCGGGGACGTTGACGAGGCGATCGGCGATGGTGGAAGCAAATTCCGCGACAGAAGTGACGACGATGGATGAAGATTCGCGTAAATTCAAGCGGATAGCACGAACGGCGAATCAGACACGGAAGAGCGGAGCCGAAGAGAGCAACGATCACTCGATACGCCGAGCCAGACGTGTGGCACTTCAGATCTGAAGTGAAACAGCGAGGCTGCGATACAACGATGCAGTGATGTAACTATGTATCGATGATGGTGCGACGCCAGTCCGCGCGACGATACGCGGAAGCAGAGAGCGATTAGCGCAGGCCAGACCAGTCTGGAAGAGATGTTGAAAATGATCAACAAACAACACTAGCTGTTGCTTCCACAACCCCGGCGAAACAAGCTATACTGGAAAAAGCCGTATGGAGTCCCAAGTTGTTGAGGGTAGAACACAAGAGCATGGAGAGAGCAAGTGCTGTGAAGAAAAGCGGGTGGGCGTGGTGAAGGCGAAGGGATTGAGAGCAGGTGCAGTGCGGTTGCATGAGCAGGAGTTGCGTTGTGCCGTGGAAGGCAGGGGTTGGCGGTGGGGCAAATGATACACGCAACATGGACTTGCATGGTTCATGGTTGTCCTCTCCTCTCTCGCCTAGCCTCGCTTCGCCTTGGTTGCTTCAGTTGGCTGCTCCCTCGAGGTTTTCGCACTGTTCTGCTGAAGGCATGAACACTCAAATGACTACACTTTTCAATTGCGGGCCGCGCTGGGCAACCTTAGTAAGGTTGATTGATAGTTGTTTTGCAGGTGCTGGTTTTGCGAATTGAGGTTACGGGTTGTACGAAGGAAGTTGATTGGCTAGTCAATCTGAAACACTGAGCTGATTGGCTAGCAAAATTGAATCAGTGTTTGCGGAGGGGGTTGGGTGGGAAACTGGCAAGGATAGTATTTGTGCAATATGGGACTCATGCAACCAAACGCGAAGTGGCCCCTGGGGTCTACTGAGTCAGCGAAATGTGTTTGAGATTGGCGAGAAGTTGGGCGAAACCAAAGCCCTCAACCCACCCAACACCTCGACTAGCCAACCCTGCTCCCTCACCTCCCAACATCAGGGCTTCAGATTCGTTTTGGGCCACCCTTATTAAACAGGGTTCTAGGTATAGTCAACCCTGATGCCTAGGGTAAATTTTTTGTTTCCCTGACAAATGCAGGGTAAAAAAACTGTAACACTGTTAGGCAAGGGTTTTTTTTCGGAGATTACTCTATGATTGTTTCTGAGAGAGTCAAGTTCGACACTAAGTGGCTCAGCCGGTTATGTTACGGAGTAGGGGCTGAAAGGCCACAGGTTCTAGTCTCGTTGTTGGGATTGTTTTGCAGGGGCCCGCTTAGTGTTTCGTCTCGCTACGGAGCATTCGGTATCAGTATTACTGGGATTGTACACTGTACAGTCAGGGAAATATGTTCCTTACGCTGTTTTTCAAAGGGTACAAAAAAACTTACACTTTCTGGCCTAGGGTAAAAAATCCACTACCCTGTCTGTGAAAGGGTAACTGAAAAAAGCGGCCGCCAGTCAGTGCAAAAAGGGTATTTTACCCTGATAACGAGAGCCCTGCCCAACATGCAACTTTAGTAAAGTTGTACAATTTGGGCCGCGAGCTTTAATGATATGCAGGGCTGTCAAGAGGTCTCCATTTGCAGTGTCACGAATGTAAGTTAGGCATAATATGATCATGCTTTGGAAAACCATAAACTACACAACTCCAACAACCGAGACAATCGCTAGGACATGTGATATAACCAAGCTCGCCTTCACCATTACAACCGTAAATCATGCAAGAATTTAGTTCAGGCAGATGCTTCCTTTCCTAGAACAAAACACCCACAACAAATCCTTCCTTCACACATCGTTCCTCGAACGAAAATCACCGCTGCCACCTGTCGTACTGGTTGCTGTCTTCCAACTGCCCTCCATACTGACCTGACGAGAGGTGCGGAGTGTACCCAGCACCAGGAGCACCAGTAGCACCCTCTCCTCCAGCCGCCTCCCTGCCTCCCTCACCTCGCCCACGACCTATACCTGCTGCTGCCTGTGCTGCTTGCGCTGCTTGCGCCGCATGCCATGATTCTGGAGCACCGTGGGGGTGCTGCTGTCCCGGGTATTGCTGGCCGCTCTGCTGTGCCAGGCGCTGTGCTGGTTGCTGCGGCAACTGGTTCGGCAAAGACTGGCTCGGCAAAGAACTGCCCAAGAGACGAGGTTCAGGCGAAGTTGAGGGTTGGGAGAAGCGCGCAGGTTGGGATGGTGCGAGGCTAGGTTGGTGGTATGATGGAAGTGGTGGTGCGTAGGAGTGGGGCAGTCCTGGTTGCATTGCGTTGTGAGGGTTTGGAGTGGGCATGTGCTGGCCTGAAGGGTTTGGCTGCTGATGCTGTGGCTGTCGCTGGAGTGGTGGCTGCAGCCCTTGCTGCTGCTGCTGCTGCTGCTGCGCCTGCTGCTGCTGATGGTGCTGCTGCTGGTGCTGCTGCTGTTGCTGTTGTCGCTGTTGTTGTTGCACCTGCTGCTGTTGCTGTTGCTGCTGCTGCTGCTGCTGCTGCTGCTGCTGCTGCTGCTGCTGCTGCTGCTGCTGCTGCTGCTGCTGCTGCTGCTGCTGCTGCTGCTGCTGCTGCTGCTGCTGCTGCTGCTGTTGCTGTTGCTGCATGTGCTGTTGCTGTTGGTGCGGTTGCTGCTGCTGGGTGTCTTGTTGTCGTTGCTGAGAATAACCCATCGCTCTCCCTCTCCCTCCTCTCCCTCCCCTCGATCCCCTCCCACCTCGCCCTCTCCCTCCCTCCCCGCCACCTGTCCCAATCCCACCATACCCCCCTCCACTCTGCTTCTGCTGCTGCCCTGAAGCTTGCACAGGCACAGCCACTGGACCCCTACTCGCCACCTGAGCACCCTGAAATCCCACCTGAGGCATCTGAAGGCCCACCTGAGGCATTTGAAGTGCCCCTGGGGACACCTGAAGGGCCACTGGAGGCGCTGCCCCTTGTTGCCCACCCACACCAGCAGCCCTCTGCATTACCCCTCCTCCTGCTGCTCCTCCTCCTCTCCCTCCACCTCCTCCCCCTCCTCTGCCTCCTCCTCCGCCGCCTCCTCCTCCACTCCCCCGCCCTCCACCCACCCCTTCAGGCATACCAGAACCAGTAGTACTAGTAGGTGCCATGCGAAACAGAGCTGATGGTAAGGAGAGCAGCCTGGGCACAGCAGTACCACTGCCACCCCCGCTGCCACTACCACCACCACTCCCACCACCACTGGCACCACCACCACCACCACCACCACCACCACCACCACCACCACCACCACCACCACCACCACCACCACCACCACCACCACCACCACCACCACCACCACCACCACCACCACCACCACCACCACCACCACCACCACCACCACCACCACCACCACCACCACCACCACCACCACCACCACCACCACCACCACCACCACCACCACCACCACCACCACCACCACCACCACCACCACCACCACCACCACCACCACCACCACCACCACCACCACCACCACCACCACCACCACCACCACCACCACCACCACCACCACCACCACCACCACCACCACCACCACCACCACCACCACCACCACCACCACCACCACCACCACCACCACCACCACCACCACCACCACCACCACCACCACCACCACCACCACCACCACCACCACCACCACCACCACCACCACCACCACCACCACCACCACCACCACCACCACCACCACCACCACCACCACCACCACCACCACCACCACCACCACCACCACCACCACCACCACCACCACCACCACCACCACCACCACCACCACCACCACCACCACCACCACCCCACCACCACCACCACCACCACCACACCACCACCACCACCACCACCACCACCACCACCACCACCACCACCACCACCACCACCACCACCACCACCACCACCACCACCACCACCACCACCACCACCACCACCACCACCACCACCACCACCACCACCACCACCACCACCACCACCACCACCACCACCACCACCACCACCACCACCACCACCACCACCACCACCACCACCACCACCACCACCACCACCACCACCACCACTACCGGTATTTCCCGCCATCGTATTCCCAGGAGGACCCCTGCCCTCTGCTCTCCCAACCCCCCTCGCCTCCCCACCCCCCTGTGCCCCCCCCGCCCCTTGTGCCCCCCCACCGATTCCTGTAGCGGCCATAACAGCCCCCAAACGCGCACCTAACCCTGCAAGCTGCGGCTGAGAGGCGTGGGCTGGAGCAGAGGGCTGGGATGGGTGGGAGGAGTGGGAAGGGCGGGAGGGAAGCATGGCGGCAGGTGCAAGGGGGAGAGAGGAGGAGGGGGAGGAGAGGGGTAGTCGTAAGGCTGCGCCGCTCTTTATTGCTCCAGCCGTTGCAGCAGTTGCAGGCCCTGATGCAGGAACCGTGGCAGTGTTGGCAAGGCGAGCGAAACGGCGCGGGTCCCGGGGGTTGGGAGGGTGGAGAAGAGGTGCTGAGGGGTGGAGGGGGACAGAAGCTGCTGCTGCTGCTGCTGCTGCTGGTGGGGCTGCGGAGACAGCAGCAGGGGGAGCGGTGAGAGGGAGAGGAGGAAGAGGAGGAGCAGGAGTGTCAGCATCAGCCGGGAGGTTGAGGTCCATCTCAAGAGGATGGCGGGACAAAGTTGCTGCTGCTGCTGCTGCCACTGCTGCAGCTGCTGCTTCAGCCCCATTACCTCGCATGCCTTCCCTGACAGGATCTTCTGCTGCTGCCCAATTTAGGTCCAGCTCCATCCCTGCCTTGGGAACGCCTTGAGCGTTGCTGCTGCTGCTACCGCCAATGCCACCGGTGCCACCACCGCTGACGTTCTCGTTGGTAGTGGTAGCGGTGGTGGTGGTGGGGCTGTTGCTGTCGTTCTTGTCACCGCTCCCTCCAGATTCCACCAACCACAGCCTGCTCACTCCTACTCCATGCTGGCTCTGCTGCACGCCTTGCTGGGCTTGATTCCCTTGCCCTCCTCCTACCCCTCCTTGCTGCTCACTCCTTTGCTGCTGCATCTGCTGCTGCTGCTGCTGCTGCTGCTGCTGCTGCTGCTGCTGCGGCTGCATCTGTGGCTGCATATTCTGCTCCACATCCAAAGCAGCATCAGGCGGACTTGCATTCAAGTCTGCTACAGGTGCCCGACCCACTCCCATACCCCCCGCCCCTCTCGCACCCACACCCACTCCTCCTCTGCCTCTTCCTGCCCCTGCCCTGCCTCTTCCCACGCCCTCCCTGCCTCTCCCCATGCCCTCTCTGCCTACGCCCCTTCCCCCACGTCCTCTCCCACCCCTCCCTTCCCCACCTGCTGCTCCTGCTGCTCCTGCTGCGCCTGCTCCTGCTACTCCTACAGTACTTGCTCTCCCCCTGCCTGGCCCACCAATTGATCCGCCTAAAGCTGTATTGCCAAGACCACTACCAGTTGCGCCAACAAACCCACCAGCAGCCCCACCAGCAACACCAGCAGCAGCAGCACTCGCAGAACCCATTGCAGCAGGAGCAGCGGCTGCTGTTGTTGTCATAGAAACGGCCGTTCCGTCGTCTACCTCACTCCTCTTCTCAAAGGTTCTGCTCACAATCCCCTCTGCCCCTCCTGTCCTCCCTCTCGCACTGTCTACAGCAGCAGCCGCCCCTACAGAACCTGCCACGTCCCCTCCCCCCACACTCCCTCTCCCTGGTGGGCCTCTTCCCTCTCCTCGTCCTCCTCGTCCCACTCCTCGCCCCACTCCCCTCCCCTCACCTCTTCCTCCCCGTCCCCCTCCTCGCGCCACTCCCCTGCCTGCCCCACCTACTGCCTCCCCACCTATTCCTCCCTCCACTAACCGCCCCACACCTCTCCCCACTCCCACTCCCCCCATTCCTCCGCCCCCGCCCCCCCCAGTGACCCCTACAGCCCCAGCCCCAGCCCCTCCCTCTCCCAGCCCACCCCGTGCTTTCCCCCCGCCTCTCCCCACGCCTCTTCCTGCTCCCTTGGAACCCCTACCTCCTCCTCCCCCTCTCCCTCCCGCCCCTGCTGCTGCTCCTGCTGCTGTTCCTGCTGTCTCGGTTGCTCCTGCTGCTAAGGCCGAAGGCACCGATGCATGGGGAGGAGTTGGAGAAGAGGGGGGTCTAATGGACGGGAACGGCTGCTGCTTTCGAAACTGCTGCTGCTGCTGCTGCTGCTGCGGCACCGGTTCCTGCAGCTGCTGCTGCTGCTGCTGTTGCGGGTGGTGGTACTGCGAGAGAGGCAACGCCTCATCAGCATCATCAGCAGCAGAGGAAAGCGGGCTGCTGTATTCCAAGCCTCTCCCTGCTGCTGCCCCGCCTGTGCTCTCACTTCCTCTTGCTGCTCCCACTGCCGCTGCTCCCATTGCTGCTGCGCCCACTGCTGCTGCCTGTGCGCCCCTCTGCTGCAGCTGGTTCAACCGTACCCCAACATCCTGAGGCCGTGTAGGGGGCCTGCCCCTCCCACGCACCTGCTGCTGCTGCTGCTGCTGCTGCTGCTCTGCCTGCTGTTGTTGCTGCCCCTGCTGCTGCACCTGCTGCTGTTGCTTCTGTTGCTGCGCCCGGATCTGCTGCTGTTGCCGCTGCAGCAGCTGCTGTTGGTGCAGCTGCTGCTGGCGTTGCTGCTGCTTGCCTAGCAGCCCTTGCTTCACTGGACCCAGAGGAGTTTGACCGGGGAGCGATGGAGACGGCAAGTGATGGATCTCCTTCACAGAAGAAGCAGCAGCAGCACCAGTGGCAGCTGCAGCAGTATCAGGCTCAACCTCTCTCTCGTTCTCGCTCCCCGATTCCTCCTCTTCAGGTTCAGTGCTACGAGTGCTTGGAGTAGACATAGCTCCTTGTAATGGTGCCGTTGGGTCAAGAGGGGAAGAGGCGTGGATGGGATGTGGCGAAGGGGATGGGGACGGGGAAGGGGATGCAGCAGCTGGGGCGGTGAAAGCAGGGAGAGCAAGCAAGGTAGGCTTGTTGGTTGCGGGTGAGGAGGCATGGCGGAGGGCAGTTGCGGTGGTGGCGTTGGTGGTGGTGGGAAGTGCTTTTTGCTGTAGCACCTGCTTCCCCTCTCCCTGTGAAGCTTGAGGTTCCCTTGTTTCAGACAAAGTAGGGAGGGTGGTTGGTGCAGGCTGGGCGTCGGGGAGAAGAATCACGGAAGGCAGCTCGACTGCAAGAGCAGAGCTCGCCCAGAGCGCGAGATGGGACGGAGAGAGGAACCTGGGATGGGATGACAGGCAGGTGGCAAGGCGGGGGGGCAGGGGGGGGGAGGTTGAGGGACACATGAGAAGGAGAGCGCTTGTGATCAGAGAAGGGAGAAGAAGCACGGAAGGCAGCTCGACTGCAAGAGCAGAGGTCGCCCAGAGCGTGAGATGGGACGGAGAGAGGAACCTGGGATGACAGACAGGTGGAAGAGGGGGGGCAGGGGGGAACAGGCCCACCCGGGGAAGGGGGAGGGGGAGGAGGAGGGGGAGGGGGAGGAGGAGGGGGAGGGGGAGGAGGAGGTTGGGGGCGCATGAGAAACGGGGACAGCATGTGATACTGTGAACTGAGTAGATGGAGCAGTGGTGCAGGGTGAAAGAGCTCCGCGCACAAGAGCACGGGTACATGTAGAATGACGAATACAGAGCAAACGGGTGGTGGGGCATGCACGCAGCACGCGTACATACGAGCAAGTGAGGCATGCCGCATGCCTTGATACATACCATGGGGGGTGACAAGAGTCCATTGTATCACCGATGAGCCTCACATCCGAGTTTTGAGTCGACTCAAAACTCGACCTTGGCGGGGGGTGACAAGAGTCCACTGTATCACCGATGAGCCTCACATCCGCAGCACGACTACCAACATCAGCATCAGCATCAGAATGAACATCAGCATCAGCACCACCATCGCCACCATCGCCACCACTGTCAGCAGCAGCACCGTCAGCACCAGCACCGGCACCAGCATTGGCATCACCACCAGCATTAGCACCAGCACCAGGATCAGCACCAGAACCAGCAGAAGCATCTAGATCAACTGACAAGAACGCCATGACGTTGAAATCAACACTCATACTCTCCTCCTCACTCTCAGCCAGATGATTTGTGTCATCCATCTCAACATCCCCATCCCCATCCTTCCCACCTACTCTTCTCCTCCATCTCTGCCCCTCCCACAGCTCCTCCTCTCTCCTCCTCTTCCTCATTACCCTTTCCGTTTCCCTCCTCTCCCTCTCCCGCTCCTTCTCCTCCATCTGCTCCTCCCAAACTCTATTCATCACTCTCCGTGCATCCTCTGCTGCCTTCCCTGCAGCTCCTCCATTCCCCATCACCACCGCACCTGACCGCACTAGCCTCTGCAGCAGCCTATCGTGAAGAGACACCTGTCTGCCAACTGTAAGAGCACCTTGATCGCCCCCTCCCTCCCCCTCTCCCCCTTCCCGTCCCTCTCCCCTTTCCCCTCCCCCTTCCCGTTCTCTTCCCCCACCCCCTCCCCTTTCCCCTACCTCGTCCCCTCCCCCTGCAGCCAATCCGACTTCATAAATCCTTCTCTCTTCTGGCTCTACACCAGTCGTTCCGCCCTCATTCTCCCACCCCTTCGCCTCATTCCTGTCTCCCCACTCAAGCCACTCATAGGAACTCCCACTACCACCACTGGCCAAAACCACAGGGTTGAGTGAAACGAACAATAGAGAAGAGGAAGAGGAGCGAGCGGAAGAGGAGGGAGAGGGGGAGAGGGGCTGCGGCTGTGACGATTGCAAAGGCACTCCTCCTGCTGCTGTCCCTTCATCTGCTGTTGTCTGCTCCTTCCCGCCTGCCCCTGCTGCACCCTGTTCTATGGCTCCCTCTCGCATTGTTGTGAGTGGGGATGTGGAGGGAATGAGTGTGGGAAGAGGACTGGTTGCAGTGGGCTGGGTGTATAAGCGAGCAATGAAGGCTGTTGCTCGGGAGGGTTGCTGAGAGCTGTGGTCCGGAAGTGGGCTGAGGAGGAGCGAGAGTTGCGACAGTTGAGACTGGAGGGGGTGTCGGGGGGGTTTGTGTGGGAGGGAGAAGGGAAAAAGGGGAAGGGGGTGGGTGCCCAGAAGGGGAAAAGGGAGAAGAAGGTCAGATGGGGAAAAGAGGATGGAAGAGGAATGGTAACGGTGGGAGAAGATGAAGAGGAGCGCGTAAGGTGCAGACGATAGCAGATGCACATGGTCAAACGCACCTATCCACATGAGGTGCCGACAAATGCACATGGCATGTGCGATGCGATGCGAGTGCATGCATGTATGCATACACATGCACACATGCATACACATGGATGCACGCACATGAGCGCACACATGTACCCATACGCACATGCGCTGCACACTTGCCAACATGCACACATGCAATGCAAGCATGCATGCATGCATGCATGCACACATGCACACATGCAGACATGCACACACGCATGCACACATGCCATCAACGACCGAAAGTAACTGCGACACACGCCGTCACAACACACCCACCTTGGGCACCAAAACATCTTTTGCCTTCCCCTCTTGCACCACATTCCTCCACCCCTCTCCACCACTCCACACCTCCCCATCCCCTCCTCCCCCCAACTCACCCCCGTCCCTCCACGCCCCCCCTCCCCTCAACAACTCCACCATCCCTCCACGCGTCCCCCTCGGCCCCAATCCCTGCCACCAACTCAGCGCATCTAAAAGCGAGAACAATCGTTGCATGCACTCCCACACCCCCCTCACTGCACCCCTCTGCCTGGCTGTCCCGTCCGGGAGCGTTGAGAGGATGTGAGTGATTAGAGGCCAGCTGCTAGTGCCGTAGTGGGAGAGAGCAGCTATTAGAGTGGCGTCTTCGTGGGGCTGCCAGGGTAGGAGAGAGGTTGGGATGGTGCGGGTGATTGCAAGGAGAGGGGCGTGGGTTGATTCAGCTGCTGCTGCCTCCGCCGCTGTGGCTGCTACTGCTGCTGCTGCAGGTGGTTGGGGTGGTTGTCTTGGTGGTAGTGGCATTGCTGCTGAAGCTCCAGAAGAATAGGGACCACCATAAAGAACACCATAGGGGCTAGCAAGGGGAACACCATAGAGAGCACTGGAAAGAGCAGTGAAAGCAGAAAGCGGTGGCACGCGGATGACAAGAGGCAGCCTGGGATCCTCCTGCAAGTCCTTTGGCTGTATAACAATGCGCCCCATGCGCATCTGCCTCTCCCTCCACCGCACCAGCTGCGCCTCTTCTCTCCTCCTTGCCTGCTCCACAGCCTTACCTCCGACCTGCTTCCCACTTGTGCCCTTCCCTGTCTCTGCTCCCCCCTCTCCTCCCCTTTCCTCCCCTTGCTCCTCCCCCCCTTCCTCATCCTCTTCCTCCTCGCTCTCCTCCTCCTCGCTCCCTCCACTCCTCTCACCCTCGTCTCTAAAGCCCACCCTCCTCTCACCGTCCCCACGCCACTCCCCTGGAGCCTTAGCCTTGCTCCTCTTTATCCTCTTTAAGTGCAGCTCCGCTAGTATTTCTTCCTCCAGCAGCCGGGGCAACCGCCTCATTCTCCCTGAGGGAACCCTGAGAGGTACCATCTCTCCTCGCCCCGCCTCTCTCTCCGCCTTCCTCTGCCTCTTCCTTAGGCTCCTCTCCTCGCGTGCTCGCATACGCACCGCCCTTCTCTCTGCTCCACCCTCCCCCTCTTCCTCACCCTCCTCACTGCTTTCCTCCTCCGTTTCCTCGTCGTCACTCATTCCCTCCTCCTCCTCCTCTCCTTCCCCACCCTCAAGCTCCAATATCTCCCCCTCCTCTTCCTCCCCCTCTTCACCAATTCCTTCCAGCATCCCCACCCCAAGCCTCCTGCCGTCCAAAGACGGCCAGCGTCCCTTTCTTCTCCTCGCATCTCTCTCCTCCTTCCTCCTCCTCTTCCGCGCAACAACCTCTGTTCGCGCCTCTGCTGCAGCCACCTGCCTCTCCCACTCCTCCCACTCCTGCTGCCGCAGTACCTCCTGAGGGGGGCGAGTGGGTGAGGGGGTAGAGAAGGGAGAGGGTTCGTGAGGAGAGAGGAGATCGCGAGCAGGAAAGGGTTCGGCTTGATGTGTGTGTGTGTGTGTGTGTGTGTGTGTGTGTGTGTGTGTGTGTGAGTGTGTGCGTGCACGCGCGCGCGCATATGCATGCATGCGTGTGCATCTGCGCGTGCATGTGCATGCATTTGTGTGCATGTGCGCGTGTTTGCGCATGCATATGCGTGCATGTGTGTGTGTGCAGGCACGCATGTGTGTGGAAGGCGTACCTGCTGGTGTGACAATGCTTCCACTTGCTGCCGATATGCTTCATCTGCATTCTCCACGTCCCAAACTGATGGTGGGGGGGTGAGGGCATGCAGACGGAGGCGAGAAAGGGAAGGGAGAAGAGGATACGCAGAGAGAGAGGGTAAGCCGAGAGGAGAGGGTAAGCCAAGAGCAGAGGGTAAGCGGAGAGGAGAGGGTAAGCGGAGAGGAGAGGGTAAGCGGAGAGGAGAGGGTAAGCGGAGAGGAGAGGGTAAGCCATGAGGAGAGGGTAAGCGGAGAGGAGAGGGTAAGCCATGAGGAGAGGGTAAGCGGAGAGGAGAGGGTAAGCCGAGAGGAAAGGGTCAGCCGAGAGGAGAGGGTGAGCTGGGAGGAATGGGTAAGCCGAGAAGAGAAGGAAGGAGGCAAAACTGTTGCTGAAAAAAACTTGTCCATTTAAACATTGAGCCAAAGACCCCACACTTATTTCAGCCCACTTGCTGCAACCCAGCCGACGCCCTTGCATAAAATGTGTGGTGTGCCCTTCCACCCTCACCCTTCCACTCCCTCCCACCCACTCCTCCCTTTCACCCACCCGCCTCCCTTTCCCCCTCCTTCTAGCACCCCAACCGAACCCACCAGAGTACTGCAGCGGCTCCTCATCGTCATCCATCTCGGCCTCCTGCTCCTCCTTGAGTCCCGTCCCAGCCCTTCCCACCCCAACCCTTACCACCCCCTCCCTAGCACCCCACCCACCAGAGTACTGCAGCGGCTCCTCGTCGTCATCCATCTTCACCTCCTGCTTCTCCTTGAGGCGCTGCAGCTGCTCCAGCTCCCACTCCCACTCAAAAGCACTTCCATGCACCCTACATACTAGAGCCTTAGCCCACGCCCTTGTACGGCAGTGCGCGCGCGCATGAGCAGTACCTTCTACCCCAGCCCTTCCCCCCAACCCCTCAATCAACCCCTCCTTTCCTCCCACCCCAGCCCTTCCAAACCCAACCCTCCCACCTCCACTCTTGCACCCCCACCCACCAGAGTACTGCAGCGGCTCCTCGTCATCGTCCATCTCCGCCTCCTGCTCCTCCTTGAGCCGCTGCAGCTGCTCCAGCTCCCACTCCTCCTCCTCCTCCACCTCTTCCTCCTCGCTCTCCACCTCCTGCTTGTCCACCACCGGGTCCCACAGCTCGTAGAACCGCATCGCATACCTGACAGAGGGAGGGGAGAAGGAAGGTTGTGGATAGATTAACAGCTCTAGGCTACGGTACAGCGGGGTGGGGTATGGTACAGCAGGCAGAGGCACTAGCCAAGCCACCTCCTGCTTGTCCGCCACCGGGTCTCACAGCTCATAGAACCGCATGACGTACCTGACAGAGGGAGGGGGGAAAGGAGGTTATGGATAGATTCACAGCACTAGGCTTCGGTACAGCGGGGTGGGGTACGGTACAGCAGGCAGGGGCACCAGCCAAGCCACCTCCTGCTTGTCCGCCACCGGGTCTCACAGCTCATAGAACCGCATGGCGTACCTGGGGGAGGGAGGGGGGAGGGGGTTGGGGTGTGGGAGCGGGTTCAAGCAAGGAGGAAAAGGTAGTTCTCGGGTGGGTACAGTGAGCTGGGGTACTTGCTACCTAGCTTTGAGTCAACTCAAAACTGTGGGAGGGGGTTCAAGCAAGGGGGAAAAAGGCAGTTCTCGGGTGGGTACAGTGGGCTGGGGCACCACTGACTCCCTCCCGCACTGCTTGTGTCCACCACTTGGCCCCTCAGCTCATGGAACCGCATTGCAAACCTGGAAGAGGGGGGGGAGTGGGTGTGGGTGTGTGAACATGGGAGTGGGTTCATTCAAACAAGGTAGAGTAGAGAAAACAGTACTAGTTTTTGTGGGTGAGGTGAATGGGATGGGGTACCAGCTAGTCCCTGCTTGCCCACCCACCACCAGGTCTTACAGCTTGTAGAATCGCATTGCATTGCATAACTGAGAGTGGGGTGGGGTGTGGGTGGGACGGGGATGGGGATGGGGATGGGGATGGGGATGGGGATGGGGATGGGGATGGGGATGGGGATGGGGATGGGGATGGGGATGGGGATGGGGATGGGGATGGCGATGGCGATGGGGATGACTACGTCTTTGAGTCCCTCCTATGAGTGCGTGTGAGGGCCACCCTCGCGACCACCATTCCACGAGGAGTGGGGCCCGACCCGAGCAAGCACTCATGTAAGCAACGCACACACACACACACGCACGCACCTTTCAGTGGGCTGCAGCTGACTGCGAAACTTGCCTTTTAAGGAGAGCACACAAAAAGGCAACACAAGATTCAACAACAACAAGGCAAGTAGACTCCTCGGAATACAACAAGCAAGCACGCACCTTTCAATGGGCTGCAGCTGACTGCCAAAGTTGCTGCCTTGCGTGCCTGCTGCTGCAGCAGCTGCTGCCATCTGCCTCACGTCCGCTATCATATCCATCTCCTCTTCCTCCTCGCCCAGCCCCATCCCTGCTGCGCCCAACCCTTCCCACTCCTTTACTTCCTTCGCACCTTCCGCTACCGCTCCTGCTCCTCCCTCCCCCTCTCCTCCTCCTCCTCCTCCACCTCCTATTCCTTCTCCTCCTCCAGCTGCTTCTACTCCTGCTGCTGCCTCCTCCACTGCAGGTTTATCCTCTACTCCTTCCTTCCCTTCCTTCCCACCCTCCTTCCCGATCACCTCTGCTCCCCCTCCACCCACCCCCTCACCTCCATCCACCCGCTCCTCATCCCCCACTTCCCTCTCCCCCTCCCCCTTACCCCCCTCTTTCTCCCCTTCCCCGTCCCCCTCCTCCTCCATCTCCTCCTCCTCCCCAGCGCCTCCCACCGGCCCTTCATCTGCAAACTCCCTCATTTCAGCAGCTGCCTCCTCCTCCTCCTGCCTCCTTGCCAGCACATCCGCTTCATCCTCCACATCCCTCAGTGCCGCCTCCATGTCTCTCAGTGCTGGCGAAGGCGCAGCAGCAGCGGCAGCAGCAGCTGCACTAGAAGAAGCGACAGCAGCAGCACCAGCACCAGCACCAGCCGCAGCACCAGCACCACCAGCACCGGCACCGGAAGCAGCAGCACCAGCAGCAGCAGCAGGAGTGGGAATGCCTCCCAGTAGCTCCATGGGATCAACGCGTTTAAAGAAGTCAGTGGTGTATCCACCGCTCTGGATCACCAGATCGTCCAACAGCCGCTTCTGGTTCGCCTTCTTCAGAATATTCTCCTCTATAGTGCTCTCCGTTATAAGCCGGTATATGTGCACGTCACGCGTCTGCCCTATGCGGTGACATCGATCCTGGATGGTTGCAGTTGGGAAGAGGAAGGGAGCGAGAGTTTTGGGTTTTACGCCTTGGCTCACTCACGGTATCAGCCTCCCATCTAGCTGATTCTCGACACGCCCAAGAAGCTACTCTACTACAGACTGCACTGCACCAATGCACGCACCTGTGCCACGCACGCACGCAGGGGTTCTAGTCACTCACGCTTTTGAGTCGACCCAAAAGCAGGTTCCAGTCACTCACGCTTTTGAGTCGACCCAAAAGCAGGTTCCAGTCACTCACGCTTTTGAGTCGACCCAAAAGCAGGTTCCAGTCACTCACGCTTTTGAGTCGACCCAAAAGCAGGTTCCAGTCACTCACGCTTTTGAGTCGACCCAAAAGCAGGTTCCAGTCACTCACGCTTTTGAGTCGACCCAAAAGCAGGTTCCAGTCACTCACGCTTTTGAGTCGACCCAAAAGCAGGTTCCAGTCACTCACGCTTTTGAGTCGACCCAAAAGCAGGTTCCAGTCACTCACGCTTTTGAGTCGACCCAAAAGCAGGTTCCAGTCACTCACGCTTTTGAGTCGACTCAAAAGCAGGTTCCAGTCACTCACGCTTTTGAGTCGACTCAAAAGCAGGTTCCAGTCACTCACGCTTTTGAGTCGACTCAAAAGCAGGTTCCAGTCACTCACGCTTTTGAGTCGACTCAAAAGCAGGTTCCAGTCACTCACGCTTTTGAGTCGACTCAAAAGCAGGTTCCAGTCACTCACGCTTTTGAGTCGACTCAAAAGCAGGTTCCAGTCACTCACGCTTTTGAGTCGACTCAAAAGCAGGTTCCAGTCACTCACGCTTTTGAGTCGACTCAAAAGCAGGTTCCAGTCACTCACGCTTTTGAGTCGACTCAAAAGCAGGTTCCAGTCACTCACGCTTTTGAGTCGACTCAAAAGCAGGTTCCAGTCACTCACGCTTTTGAGTCGACTCAAAAGCAGGTTCCAGTCACTCACGCTTTTGAGTCGACTCAAAAGCAGGTTCCAGTCACTCACGCTTTTGAGTCGACTCAAAAGCAGGTTCCAGTCACTCACGCTTTTGAGTCGACTCAAAAGCAGGTTCCAGTCACTCACGCTTTTGAGTCGACTCAAAAGCAGGTTCCAGTCACTCACGCTTTTGAGTCGACTCAAAAGCAGGTTCCAGTCACTCACGCTTTTGAGTCGACTCAAAAGCAGGTTCCAGTCACTCACGCTTTTGAGTCGACTCAAAAGCAGGTTCCAGTCACTCACGCTTTTGAGTCGACTCAAAAGCAGGTTCCAGTCACTCACGCTTTTGAGTCGACTCAAAAGCAGGTTCCAGTCACTCACGCTTTTGAGTCGACTCAAAAGCAGGTTCCAGTCACTCACGCTTTTGAGTCGACTCAAAAGCAGGTTCCAGTCACTCACGCTTTTGAGTCGACTCAAAAGCAGGTTCCAGTCACTCACGCTTTTGAGTCGACTCAAAAGCAGGTTCCAGTCACTCACGCTTTTGAGTCGACTCAAAAGCAGGTTCCAGTCACTCACGCTTTTGAGTCGACTCAAAAGCAGGTTCCAGTCACTCACGCTTTTGAGTCGACTCAAAAGCAGGTTCCAGTCACTCACGCTTTTGAGTCGACTCAAAAGCAGGTTCCAGTCACTCACGCTTTTGAGTCGACTCAAAAGCAGGTTCCAGTCACTCACGCTTTTGAGTCGACTCAAAAGCAGGTTCCAGTCACTCACGCTTTTGAGTCGACTCAAAAGCAGGTTCCAGTCACTCACGCTTTTGAGTCGACTCAAAAGCAGGTTCCAGTCACTCACGCTTTTGAGTCGACTCAAAAGCAGGTTCCAGTCACTCACGCTTTTGAGTCGACTCAAAAGCAGGTTCCAGTCACTCACGCTTTTGAGTCGACTCAAAAGCAGGTTCCAGTCACTCACGCTTTTGAGTCGACTCAAAAGCAGGTTCCAGTCACTCACGCTTTTGAGTCGACTCAAAAGCAGGTTCCAGTCACTCACGCTTTTGAGTCGACTCAAAAGCAGGTTCCAGTCACTCACGCTTTTGAGTCGACTCAAAAGCAGGTTCCAGTCACTCACGCTTTTGAGTCGACTCAAAAGCAGGTTCCAGTCACTCACGCTTTTGAGTCGACTCAAAAGCAGGTTCCAGTCACTCACGCTTTTGAGTCGACTCAAAAGCAGGTTCCAGTCACTCACGCTTTTGAGTCGACTCAAAAGCAGGTTCCAGTCACTCACGCTTTTGAGTCGACTCAAAAGCAGGTTCCAGTCACTCACGCTTTTGAGTCGACTCAAAAGCAGGTTCCAGTCACTCACGCTTTTGAGTCGACTCAAAAGCAGGTTCCAGTCACTCACGCTTTTGAGTCGACTCAAAAGCAGGTTCCAGTCACTCACGCTTTTGAGTCGACTCAAAAGCAGGTTCCAGTCACTCACGCTTTTGAGTCGACTCAAAAGCAGGTTCCAGTCACTCACGCTTTTGAGTCGACTCAAAAGCAGGTTCCAGTCACTCACGCTTTTGAGTCGACTCAAAAGCAGGTTCCAGTCACTCACGCTTTTGAGTCGACTCAAAAGCAGGTTCCAGTCACTCACGCTTTTGAGTCGACTCAAAAGCAGGTTCCAGTCACTCACGCTTTTGAGTCGACTCAAAAGCAGGTTCCAGTCACTCACGCTTTTGAGTCGACTCAAAAGCAGGTTCCAGTCACTCACGCTTTTGAGTCGACTCAAAAGCAGGTTCCAGTCACTCACGCTTTTGAGTCGACTCAAAAGCAGGTTCCAGTCACTCACGCTTTTGAGTCGACTCAAAAGCAGGTTCCAGTCACTCACGCTTTTGAGTCGACTCAAAAGCAGGTTCCAGTCACTCACGCTTTTGAGTCGACTCAAAAGCAGGTTCCAGTCACTCACGCTTTTGAGTCGACTCAAAAGCAGGTTCCAGTCACTCACGCTTTTGAGTCGACTCAAAAGCAGGTTCCAGTCACTCACGCTTTTGAGTCGACTCAAAAGCAGGTTCCAGTCACTCACGCTTTTGAGTCGACTCAAAAGCAGGTTCCAGTCACTCACGCTTTTGAGTCGACTCAAAAGCAGGTTCCAGTCACTCACGCTTTTGAGTCGACTCAAAAGCAGGTTCCAGTCACTCACGCTTTTGAGTCGACTCAAAAGCAGGTTCCAGTCACTCACGCTTTTGAGTCGACTCAAAAGCAGGTTCCAGTCACTCACGCTTTTGAGTCGACTCAAAAGCAGGTTCCAGTCACTCACGCTTTTGAGTCGACTCAAAAGCAGGTTCCAGTCACTCACGCTTTTGAGTCGACTCAAAAGCAGGTTCCAGTCACTCACGCTTTTGAGTCGACTCAAAAGCAGGTTCCAGTCACTCACGCTTTTGAGTCGACTCAAAAGCAGGTTCCAGTCACTCACGCTTTTGAGTCGACTCAAAAGCAGGTTCCAGTCACTCACGCTTTTGAGTCGACTCAAAAGCAGGTTCCAGTCACTCACCAGAGATGTCTGACATAGCAGTTCAGGCCCACACACTCTCTTTCAGGCATCTGAAATAGCAGACTCGGCCAACGCATGCACACACACGCACCTGAGCCTGCTGGTCCATGGCCGGGTTCCAGTCACTGTCGTAGAAGATCACAGTATCAGCTCCCACCAGGTTGATCCCAACGCCACCCGATCGCGTGGACAGGATAAACGCGAATATCTTCGGATCCGTGTTGAACCTCTGCATCAGAATCTGCCGCTGCTCCGGCCCCGTCGCCCCATCCAGTCTCATATACGTATGCCCGTGTAAAGCCAGAAACGCCTCTAGGACATCCAGCATTCGGGTCATCTGGGTGAAGATGAGGGTGCGGTGCCCTCCGAGCTTCAGCCTCCGCAGGAGAACCGCGAGCTCCTGCAGCTTCCCGCAGTCGAATTGGATGAGGCGACGGTCTGGGAAGAAGAGCTGGCGGCGGATGAAAGCCGTGCGGAGCGGGGCGAGGAGCGGGCGGAGGGAGCGGTCGAGATGCTGTTCCGTTTGTGCTCGGGAGGTTTCGAGCCATGGGAGGGTGTGGGAGCAGGTGAAGGAGGGGGGCACGGCACGGGCTGGCGGGATGGCGAATACGAAAGTGGAGATAGTGGTGGTTAGATCCTCGCAGCGTTGGAGAGGGGAGAGGATGAGTGGCGGTGTGCGTTGGGAGGTTGACGGGGAGAGGAGTGGCTCGGAGGAGGAGGGTGTGGAAGGGGAGGGGTGGGTGGATGCTGGCGGTTGTGGCTGCAACAGGTCCTGCATTCCCCCTTCACCTTGACCGCTCCCGGAAGGTTCGAGAGGCGAGACGAGTGTAACGAGAGGGCGGGTGAGCAGGGAGGAGTATTGAGTGAGACAGGACGGCTGGGAGAGAGCAGAATTAGGGTTAGCAGCCAGCGCATGGGAGTGGCGGGTGGGGTGCGGGAGCGAGAGCAGGCTGATTGCATCTGAGCCAAAGACAGGGCGTTGGTGGCGGCAGCGGGCGAAGCTGAGAGCAGCGGTGAGAGCAAGGGCTTCTTTCTGCCACTGCCTCTTCCTTGTCTGCACCCGCGCTTGTACTTCTTCTAGTAACCCCATCAGCTTTCGCACCCTCCCTCTGCCTTTCCCCGCCCTCCCCCCGTCCTCGTTACCCCCACCGCTGCTGCCCTTTCGGCTGCTTCTGTTGCTGCCTGGCCCTTTCCGGCCCTTGCCCTCCCTGTGTCCTCCAGCGTCCAAGCTCCTTCTCTTCTTAGGGTTCTTCCCTGCGTTACCACCATCCCCTCCGCCATCCCGCCACCTTCCTCCATCAATCTCCATCTCATCCCCACTCTCCCTCTCGTCGTCACTCGCTACACTATCCCCTCCATCCTCCTCTTCCTCGTCCCCACTTCGCACCTCCCCTTCCTCCTCCTCATCATCCTCCTCCTCCTCCTCTCCCTCTTCGCCCTCCTCACCAGCAGCTGCTATCAGCAGCGTTGTCATATCCTCCTCGTCCTGCTCCATCTCCTCCTCTTCCTCCCTTCTCACCATTCTCATCCCAATCTCCTCGATAAGAACAGGAGGAGCAGCAAGCCTCGCTACCTCCTCCGCCTCCCACATCGCCATACTGCTATCCCACACCGACCGCACCAAACCCAAGCACTTCAACTCTTCATATCCCACTGCTCCTCCTCCTCCCCTCCACTGCCCGGACCCCAAACTCCCCCAACCTCTCCACCTCCTACCCTCACCTCTTCCCCATTTTCCAGAACCTAAAATCCTCCCTTCCGTGCCCCTCCCTTCTTCCAACACCCCATCCAACTCTTCCTCATCCTCGTCCTCTGCACCATCCCACCCTGTCCAATCCAGCGCACTCCTCCTTCCCATCCCCTCCCCGCCCACCCACCAGCTATCCACCACCCCCCACCTCTCCCCGCCTCCTCTCGCCCCCAACGCAGCAGCCCCAAGCATCGCCCTCCCGACTCCACTCCCTCCTGCACCCACCCCGACCACCAGCGACGGCAGCGGCAGCACCAGCGGCGGGCTCATATCAAACGACGAAATAATCGGCCGGCCTTCGAACAAATCCGGGTGGTTACACACCTTCCGCAGCTGCATCAGCACGTTGATCAACCCTAGGAAATTCCCGCTCGCGAGAGTCGCCTGCGTGTCAGACCGGGCCATAAACTCTTCATATAGTTGCCGCTGGCGCCGGGAGAGCCGGCACGTGACCACGTGCTCGTACTTCGGCGGGAGGGAGCGCTCCACGTCGCATTTGAGGCGGCGCAGCAGGAACGGCCGCAGCACGTTGTGTAATCGGTCGATCACCTCAGGGTTCCCTGCCATGCCTGTGTCTGCCGCTGCTCCTGCTGCCGCCGCTCCTCCTGCTGCTCCGGCTGCTGCTCCTGCTGATGCCGCAACCACAGCACCGCCACCAGCAGCAGCAGCAGCCGCCGTACCTCCTGCCTCCCCTGCGGCCGCCCCCTGAGCTGCCCCTCCTGCTGCTCCGCCCGCCCCCCCTCCCTCCACAATCCCGGAAATGGGATTACAAAACCAGTCCTTGAACTCGGCATGCGACTGGAACACGTGCGGCATAAGGAAATGCATGAGCGCCCACAGCTCCATCAGATCATTCTGCAGCGGCGTGCCAGTAATCAGAATCCGCCTCTTGGCATTAAAGTTCAGCAGAGTCTGCCAGCGCTGCGAGCGCCAGTTCTTGATAAGATGCGCCTCATCGAGAATGAGGTACCGCCACTTCTTCCGCCGGAACGCCTTCGCGTCTTGCACGACGAGCCGGTACGTGGTGATGCAGACATGGAACGAGTTGGGCTTGCTCCACCCCTGCCGCTTCGCCTTGCGTTCCTTCGCCGACCCGAAGTAGGTTAAAACCTTGAACGCAGGGCACCATCTCATGAGCTCCATCTGCCAGTTGAGCATCACCGACGTGGGCACCACGACCAGATGCGGGCCCCACTGGCCTTTTTCACACGCCAGGTACGCCAGGAGTGCGATCGCCATGATCGTCTTTCCCAGCCCCATTTCGTCCGCCAGAATCCCGTTGAGCTTCTTCTCGTACAGTGTTACCAGCCAGTCGAGGCCGATGTGTTGGTACTCGCGGAGCGGGAGCTTGAGCAGGAATGGCACTTTGGTTTTTACTTTGGTTGTGGACATGGTGTGACCGGTCGGTTGGGCTGCGCTTGCAGCGGCTGCTGCGTCCCTCCATTGCTCCTCCTCACTCGCTTTCCCTTTTCCCTTTCCCTTGCGCCTGCGCTCCGCCTCCTCTCCAGCATCCGCTTCCTCTTCATCCTCCTCCTCCCCTTCCTCGCCCTCTCCCTCCTCCCCTTCTTCCTCCTCCGCTTCCTTCCCTTTTCCCACGCCATGCTCTTTACGCCCACCCTCCTCTTCCTCCTCCTCCTCCTCTTCCTCCTTCCCTTCCACCTCTGCTACAACGCTCCCCCCCACCTCCCCAACACCCTCTCTCCCCCCACTCCTTCCCCCCACCTGCTCTGCCTTCCCCATTCCTTCCGCCAGCACAATCCCCCCTTCTTTTTCCTCCACCCCCACTGCAAAGCTCACCTTTCGTCTCTTGCGACTCTCCTCCCCTGCTTCCCCACCCCCACCCCCATCCCCTCGCACCATAACCACGTCTCCTCGTCCCTCTGCTTTCACTGCAACTCCCTCCTGCTTTCTATCCACTTCCTCCTTCCCCTCAGCACCACTCACAGCCTCAACTCCCTTCCCCACATCCGCTTCCATCCCCTCCCTCCCCACCCCTGCTTCCTCCTTCACCTTTTGCTCTTTTCCGGAATCTTCATGTTTCCTCCCTCTCTCCGCATCGTTGCTCCTCCCTTCCAGGTTCTCCACCAAAACCCCATCACGTTTTCCATCACTTCCCTTTCCTCCTTCCTCTCCTACACTCTCACCGGCTGGGTGTTTCCTCTTCCTCCCATGCTGTTGCTCATGCTCCTCCTTCACCCCGTTTCCCATCAACTCATGTGACTCATCTGGCCCGTCTCCCTTTCCTTCCTCTGAATCCTCCTCGTCCTTCACTTCCTTCTCCTCCAATTCCTCCTCTTCCCCCTGCTCCTCCTCTTCCTCGTCCTCTTCTTCCTCGTATTCCTCTTCCTCCTCGTCCTCTTCTTCCTCGTATTCCTCTTCCTCCTCGTCCTGCTCCCCCTCCTCGCTGTCCTCTCCTCCTTTCATCTGCATCAGCAGCAACCACCCACAGAACACAACACAGCAGAGGTTGAAGCTTGAAAGTCCATGCATGCATGCGCTATAGTATTCGCTGCAATACTAGAGCAGAGCACCACATGCGAGTTGTAGGTCTGTTCCGGTAAAATTCAATCCAATCCAATCCAAAATAATCTACACAATGAGATGCGTGGCTCGTGGGTGGGGCTTTGCTTTCGTTTCACAGCAATGAACACTTACCTAGAGAATCACAACTGGCACAGCATTGCACATACCTGTTTGTACCGCCGCAGTATCTCCTCCAGAGGCAATTCACTCTCACCCTGCAGCTCGTTCACCTGGGGGGGTGGTGGTGGCATGGCATGGCATGGCATGGCATACAAACAAACAAACAAGTGGCGCAACAAGAGTCATTCAGACGTGTCCTGCGATTCAATAGCTCGAAGACGGCAGCGCGTGTAACGGGGACGGAGGGAATGCACATAGACAGCAGGAGGAGGAACGTTTGGATTCGGGAAGGGTATGGCAGTATGGTCACAGAACGGAAACTGGCGTGACGACCAATCAAAGCGACAATGGGGGACCTACAATGCAAAGGTGCAAGAGGCAAATATGCTACGCCAAGCAGTTTACCTCTTCGTCTGCCCCTCGGCCGTCCTCCTCCCCTCTTAGCCTCTCCTCCTCGTCCAGTGTTGCCTCGTCATCTTCCTCCTGCCACGTGGCAAGGTTTGGTGGTTGGTAGCATGAGGGTATGGGAAATGACAGATGCGAGAAAGAAATTATGGAATGGAGTGGAGTTGACAAGATGACTTTTGACAAGTCGACTCAAAAGTCAACTCGGCTGGGGCCCATGGAGGTGAGTTCCTTCCCATGCTGGTTGACTTTTGACAAGTCGACTCAAAAGTGATGATTGTTTGCACCGGATGCTGCTGCTGTCCATGTGGTTCAATCAATCCCTCTGGGCTAGTTGACTTTTGAGTCGACTCAAAAGGATGGATGTGAGTGCAAGAGCTTTTGAGTCGACTCAAAAGTGGCTCCACTCCTGCCATCCATGCAAGATGACTTTTGACAAGTCGACTCAAAAGTCATCTACATATAGAGAAAGTAAACTGTTGGATAGATTATGTCAGGGAGTGTGGCAAAGTACGTATGGAAAGGGTAGAACAACAGCAGGTACAGCACCAGGTGCGGAAGCAGGTATGGCAGGCAGCAGGTACGGTACGGCAGCAGGCACGGCAGGCAGCAGGTGCGGCAGCAGTGGCTATGACAGACCCCGCAAAACTATATCTGCTCTTCAAAATCCACCCCCCTCTCCCCCTCCTCCCCTTCACTCCTCCTAACCCCCCCACCTTTCCACACATCTTCCTTCCCCCCCTCACTGGCCGCTCTTCATTTCAGCACAGACACTCACCATTGCTGCTGCTACCCCTCCTACTTCGCAACGCACCTCTCGCTTCACCTTAACTTACCTCTCTAAACCGCATGACATCCCCACATTTCACCATCTTAAATTCTTAATGCACATCTCCAAGCTTGCACAGCACCGCATTGCATACCAGCCTCTCACCAACCATCCCAGAGGCCTCACCTGTCCTTCTTCCAACGGGTTATAGTCATCATCGTCAGCAGCAGCAGGGACCAGCGGTGGCACAGCCGAATCCACATGTGCTGCTGCTGCCGCTCCTGCCGCCGTGGCCACTGGTGGTGGTGGTGGTGGTGGTGACGTGGTCGCAACTGTTGCTGGTGCTTCAGGTGTTAGTGCAGGAAGCACATGCAGCGATTTCTGTGCCCCTGTTGATGCTGCGATTCCCTTGCTCTCTGCCCCTCCTGCTGCTGCTTCCTCCTCAGTGCCTTTCTCTTCCGCTCCTGGTGCTATTTTCCCCTCGCGTGCACCCAATGCAGCATAGGCACGAGACTCTTCTCCTTCTTCTTCTCCTGTTGCCTCATCCTCCTCCGCTCCCCCTGCTGCTGCGAGTGGCAGTTCTGGAGCTTCTGTCGGCAGGGTCCCATTCTCTGTCGTTACACCAAGCAAAGAATGGGCAAAGAACAAGCATAAAGGAAAAGCTCAAGAAAAAACTTTGGGCAAGAACATTCAGACAGGGAGGGACGCGTATAGAGTAGAGTTGAAGTTACTCCACCACTCCAGCTGACTTTTGAGTCGACTCAAGAGTAGAGTTGAACATACTCCACCACTCCAGTGGATGAGGCTTGAGAAGTCTCAACACTCTTGGTTCAACGGTCAAGGTAGGTTAGGTTAGAGTAGAGCGAGCACACACACACGGCATCAAAAACCAGCCTTGGCGTGGACTAGAATGGCGTGGACCAGCCTTGACACTGGCACTGGCACTGGCACTAAGCCTCACGAGGCGGCCAGAATGCGGTCCAGTCCAGGCGCTGCTTCACCAGCGCGTCTAATCAAGAGACGTCTCAACATAGGAGTTATCAAGGTTTGGATTGAAACGCTCAACAGCAGTGAGCAGTGGAGTGAGCAGTGGAGTGAGCAGTGGAGTGAGCCGAGCTCTCGTGTTGGTTGGTTGGTAGGCTGGGCGGCCGGCCAGAGAATGCGGTCCAGCAGGGGCGGGGAGGGGCTGGCCGCCACTGGTCCATCTCCTCTGCCAGCGCTGCTAGTTTTGGGACAATTCAAATGTTGGAATGTAAAGCTTTGGAACGTCTACAAGCAGTCCGCTAAGCAATGCGGTGGGCTCACGTTGGTAGGCGGCCAGAATGCGGTCCAGTGGTTGGTCCATCTCTTAAATGCTGAATCTGAGTGGTTCTTGAGAACTCCCAAAGGGAGGAGTGGAGTGGCTTTTGCGGTGCCTCAAAAAGGGGGAGTGGAGCGGGCTGGGCAGTTGGGTGACTCACGTCAAACAGCAGTGAGCAGTGGTACAGTGGAGTCAGGGTCACTCACGTTGGTAAGCAGCCAGAATGTGCTCCAGAGGCTGGTCCATCTCCTGTGCCAGCGCTGCTAGCTCCGCCTCCCTCTCCTCGTCGCCCACCTCCTCCTCCTCCTGCATCATCTCCCGCTCGTACTCCTCCTGGCGACCAAGGGGGGAGGGGAGGGAGGGGAGGGAGGGGAGGGAGGGAGGGAGGGGAGGGAGGGGAGGGAGGGGAGGGAGGGGAGGGAGGGGAGGGAGGGGAGGAGGAGGGAGGGAGGGAGGGGAGGGAGGGGAGGGAGGAGAGGGAGGGGAGGGAGGGGAGGGAGGGGAGGGAGGGGAGGGAGGGGAGGGAGGGGAGGGAGGGGAGGGAGGGGAGGAAGGGAGTGTGAGTGCAGGTGTAGGAAAGATTGGATTCCTCCTGCATCATCTCCCGCTCGTACTCCTCCTGGCCGTTGGTGGGGAGGGGGATTGGGGAGGTGGGGGTAAGGGAGCGTGAGGGAGAGTGTACCGTCTACGTCTGGACTTACTTCTGCCTCTTCCTGTGTCTTCCTCTCATACCATTGGTGAAGGAAGGGGGGGGATCGTGGGAGAAGGAGGTGTGGTGTGGGTGTTGGCGTGGGCGTGGGAGGCAGGAGTGTGGTGGTGATGGTGGTGGTGGTGGTGGTGGTGGTGGTGGTGGTGGTGGTGGTGGTGGTGGTGGTGGTGGTGGTGGTGGTGGTGGTGGTGGTGGGTGCGAGAGTGGGTGTGGCACATGCATGTTACCACATGTGACATGACATGCACAAGAGGGAACGAACAAAGGGTGGCATCGTGGCACCACACACACACACACACACACACACACACACAAAGAGCTCCACTCCAACCCCACTCCACGTGGCCTCTAAACCATCTAACCCATCTGGCTGTGCTGTGCTGCTCCTACGTGATTTTTGAGCCAGCTCAACAGTTAGCTTAAGTTAGAACGATGCACCACACATGTACAGCTCAAACCTAACCAGCCCACACAAGTCCTCTCCTCCTCTCACCTGCCGGCGCTGCTCCTCCATCTCCTCATCGCTCCCCCCTCGGAAATCCTCATCCTCCCCTGCCTCCTCCTCTTCCACCTCCTCATCCCACTCCGCATCCCCACACACTGCCCCAACTTCCTCTTCCTCCTCTCCCACTTCACCCTCCTCTACCTCTTCCCACTCCTCCACCTCCTCCTCCTCTCCCTCCTCTCCCTCCACTTCTTCCTCCTCTTCCTCCACCTCCTCCACTTCTTCTTCCTCCTCCTCTTCCCCTCCCTCGTGCCCCTCCCCTGCATTCCCCTCCACATCACTCTCCCCTCCCTCTTCAACCTCTACTCCTTCCATGTCCACATCCTCACCACCATCTTCCTCCCCCTCCTCCCCCTCCTCAACCTCCTCCTCTTCTTCCCCCTCCTCCCCCTCCTCCCCTTCTTCCCCCTCCTTCCCCACCCCCCCCTCCTCTCTCTCCTCCCCTTCCTCGTTGTCTGCAGCAAGGTTCTCGGCTAGAAGAGAGGAGTACCTACAAAACAAAAACGGAGGACACAGGCACAGCCACAGGCACAGGCACAGGCACAGGCACAGGCACAGCACACCCAGTAGATGAATCACGTTGTGAGACGACTCAAAGGGAAGAAAGAAGCACAGGAACTACTCTTGATGGTCACCGAGGGCAAAAGGAATCACACCCTGCCATGTCTCTCTCTCTCACCATGCCTCTCTCTACCCATGCCTCTCTCTACCCATGCCTCTCTCACAGCATCAAGTACGCATATAAGCTACCAATCGTGCGCATACTCCCATTCCCAAGCTCATGCCCAAGCCCATGCACGTCCACCCAAATACCCACATGCTGCGCCCGCATGCACTGAACCCATGCACCCATACACGCAACCATGCACACACCCATGCACACACCCATGCACACACCCATTCACACACCCATGCACACACCCATGCACACACCCACCCATGCACACACCCACCCATGCACCCGCACCCGCACCCATGCACACACACACCCACCCATGCGCGTGCGCAGTACCTCTCAGTCTGCCCCAGGAGAAAGTCCAGGTGTTTATCCAGGGCCTTCTTCTTCTTCTCCTCCACCTGCAGCTCGTGCTTGTACACCACCTGGTCATGCACAGCACAGACAGGAAACACATGGAACGCACACGACGCACACGATGCACACGATGCACACGATGCACACGATGCACACAGCAAGGAGGGGGAAAGCACGCACAAAAGAAAATGAGATTTTTGGAATCCCATGTCATGACATGTCATGTCACGGAAAAGCATGGCATGACATGTCACGGAAAAGCATGGCATGACATGTCACGGAAAAGCATGGCATGACATGTCACGGAAAAGCATGGCATGACATGTCACGGAAAAGCATGGCATGACATGTCACGGAAAAGCATGGCATGATATGTCACGGAAAAGCATGGCATAGATGCAATAGGACATGGCAGCAAGGCACCCACCAGCTTCTCGATCTTCATCCAGAACCGCTTCACCTCCTTGGCTATACCGCTCGCCACCCGCCACACTCGCTGCTCCTCCTCCTGCCACCCACGAGCCATTGGGCGCAGGGGAGAAGGAAGAACAAACAGGTTCAGAATCCATGCCATCCATGAGATGAGACATCAGGTGTTCGTGCACAGGGGGAGAGGCAGGTGCGACAAGTTTCGAGGGAAAGATCTAGGAACAAACTCATCTCGTCTCGTCTCACTCTCCCCCTCCCTCGCTCACCCTGACCTGACGGCCTCCCCCTCCTCCTCTTCCTGCCCTTCCTCCCCTTCCTCCTCTTCCTCCTCTTCCTCCTCTTCCTCCTCTTCCTCCTCTTCATCGTTCCACAACAGACCTTCCGTTCCATCCCTCCGTTGCTTGCAAGCTGTTGAAAAACAGGAAAAACAGACCCTCTGCCCGTTAGTTCACTCCAGTCCACTCCACTGCAAGCCGTTCTGAGAACCCGCCCTAGAGAACCTCGTTCTGAGGCGCCTCATTTCAAAACTCCACTCCACTGCAAGCCGAGGTGACTTTTGAGTCCACTCAAAAGTCACCTCGTTTTGAGGCGCCTCAAAAGTCACCTCGTTTTGAGGCGCCTCAAAAGTCACCTCGTTTTGAGGCGCCTCAAAAGTCACTCCACTGCAAGCTGTTCTAGAGAACCCGGCCTAAAGAACCTCAACTCGACTCGACCTTTGCTTCGCCTCCATCTTTCGGCTCCTCGATAACAAACCATCGCTGTTCGTGCCTCCTCAACTCAAATAGCGCGCAGACTCACCTTGAGTTTCTTCTCCCCATGCAGATCACGGCCCGGTCTGGCTCAACATACCCGTGCATGCATATATGCATGCGCGCACGCATGCAAAACACCTCCAAACGACTGAAAGCTCACTCACTTTGAGCTTCGACTCCCCACACAGCTCCAGGTCCGTTCTGGCCCGGCACACCCACGCCGCACATTCAGAAGCCTCAAAGAATCCATTTTCGAGGCCTCTCAAAACTCGCTCACCTTGAGCTTCTTCTCCCCGCGCAGCTCCAGGTCATTTCTGGCGCGGCACACCCGCGCACCCGTCTTCCTCGCCTGCCCCGCCTTCCACCGCCGCTCCTTGTCAAAGTCCTGCCGGCGAGCAGAGAGTGGGGTGTGGGTTGAGGGGGGTGAGTGGGATTGAGCGGATATCAAGGCACGCGCACGCAAGTCTTTCTCGCCTGCCCCGCCTTCCACCGCCGCTCCTTGCCAAAGTCCTGTCGGCCCCCGAGGGAAGCGGCAACGGGAAAGACATTTCGTCATGCCATGCCATGTCATTTCACGTCACGTGCTTGCAGCCATACCAGCCTGCCATGTTCATCCAGAATCCAGATATTCCATAAGACTGCATTCCGACACTTCAAATCAACACCTTCGCCTTCCTTCTTCCCTTCCCCTTCTTTCCCACTTCCTCCTTCCTCCTCCCCCCTCCCACCTCCCCTTTCCAACCTCTCCCCTCTCCCCTCCCCCCTCCCCCTTCCCCCTTCTCCCTTCTCCCTACCCCCATCCCTCCCCACCTTGGACAGCCATGCCATCTCGTCCAACAGAGCATCCCAATGCGCCCGTGCCTGCACCGGCTCCTGCTGCTGCTTTGGCACCCGCCGATTTATGCCCGCCTTGCGCCGCCGCTGCAGGTAGAGAAGGGGGGGAAAGAGCGGCGGGAAGCAGGGAGGAGCGGGGTGGGAAGAAGGGCCAGAGAGGGGAGGGAGGGGGAAGAGCAGGAGGGAGAGCGGGGACGAGGGGGAAATACAGAAGGAAAAGGTGGAAGAGGGAGACAAAAGTTGAGAAGGGGAAGGCAGGGGGAGAGAGAGCAGAGAAAGGGAGGGAAAGAGGGTGAGTTGGGATACGATGAGGTCAGACATTGCTCGCTGCAACTGCTTTCAGCAGCAGTGCGAGCTTCGTCACATCACCCTCTCCCTCTCACCCACCTCCCGTGCGTCCTTCACTTGCAGGTACCTGAGCATCACTGAGTCCTCTTGCTTTTCAGTCAACTCAATCAACACAAGCATTTTTTAGAATCGACTCAACTTAAACGTCAAGTGAGTTGATTCGACTCGACAAGTCTCGCTCTCCCTCTCACCCACCTCCCGTGCGTCCTTCACTTGCAGGTATCTCAGCAGCATTGAGTCCTCTTGCTCCAGCCGTCGCCGCCGCTCCTCCTCGGTCTCCTCTCTCTGCGGCACCACATCATCATCATCCTCCTCCTCAGATTCCTCGTCTTCTTCCTCCTCCTCATCCTCATCCTCCTCGTCTTCATCCTCATCCTCTTCCTCTTCCTCCTCCTCCTCCTCCACCTCCTCTTCTCCTCCCTTGCTCACCTCCTCAACATCCAAACTCTCTGCTTTCCAGCCTGCTTCCATCACATCATCATCGCTCCCATCATCGCTCGTATCCTCCTCACCATCACCTTCACCATCACCATCATCAGCATACAGAGCCACAGCACCTTCCTCAATCTCCTCCTCCGTCCTACCCCTTCGTCCACGGCTTCTCACCTCTCCAAACCCAGACGCACCCAGCCCATCCTCCCCAGTACCACCCTCCTTCCCACGCGCCCCTCCCCTTCCACTACCCCCAACCAAACCACCCACACCGCCCCCTTCCCCCATCTTCACGAACCTTCCCCCTTTCCCTCTCTTCTGCGCCTTCCTTGCTGCCCTCAGACTCTTTCTCGCCTTAGCCTTAGCCCCGCCTTTCTTCTTCCCCCGCACCCCCCCCTCCTTCCCCCTCCTCTTCCACCTTCCCCCCCCCACGGTGATAATCATACCCACTAACCAGTCTGATACTGCTTGTCACTCCCCGGTTCTTCACCCCCTTACCCACCACATTCCTCCTCCCACTCTCTCCCTCCTCCACCTCCACTCTCCTTCCCTCCATCAACTTCCCCTCCTTCCTTTCGTCCTCCTCATCTCCTCCCTCCCTTCCCCCCTCTCCTCTGCTGCTCTCTCCTCCTTTGCTTCCCTCCACTCCCTCCTCTCCCTCCTCGCCCTCCTCGCCCTCCTCGCCCTCCTCCCCTTCCTCGTCCCATGCATCCTCCTCTCCCTCCGCGCCCCCCCACCACTCCCAGTACTGCTCATCTTCCAACTCCTCCACAACAGGAGACAGCTCCCTCTCCTGCCGCAGCAGCTGCAGCTGCCTCAACACACCCTCCACTCCACCCGCCCCTTGCCTCACTCCCTCGTCCACTGCACCAGCACCCCCCACAGCAACACCAGCAGCAGCAGCAGCACCAGTAGCCGCACGAAGAGCAGCTTGAGCAGCAGCGAAAGGCGAACCCACTCCCTCCTTACAATCACCACGAGCAGCACCCATTGCAGCACCATGAGCAGACCCTCCCTCCTGCTTCCTCCTGCCTTCCACCACCACCACAGCAGACCGCCTGGGCCTAAGCCGATTCACCACCCTCTCTCCCTCCTTCTCCTCCCCATCCGCTTCCTCCTTCACCTCATCCCCATGCCCTCCCCCATGCTCCACTCTCCTCAATCTCACTCCAACCCCTCCTCGTTCCATAAGCCCTTGCTCACTCTTTTCCCGTCCCTGTCCCCTCCCAGGCGTTCCTCCTCGTTCCATAAGCCCTTGCTCACTCTTTCCCTGTCCCTGTCCCCTCCCAGGTGTTCCACCGCCCCCTCCCCCGCCACCTGCCGTTCTCATCCCCTCCCGCCCTCCTCCTCTCCCTCCTCGTCCCCACCCACGCCCTGCTTTCCCGTCCAATACGCCCCCAGCTGAATCCCCACCTTCTCCTCCTCTCCCTACTCTTCCATCTCTTTCTCCTGCTCCTCCTGCATCTGCCGCCTCCTCGTGCTCCTCCTCCTTCCTTCCCTCCTCTTCAACCCCCTCCTCCCCTTCCCTCTCTCCCTCTCCCGCCTCTCCCTCGCCCTCCTCCCCCTCGTCATCTGCAGCTGCTGTCTCTTGCGTTAGCAGCAGCGCCTGAGCCTGCTGCCAGCTCACGCTCATAAGCCCCTTTCCTAGCCCCCCATCCCTTCCCCCCTCTCCTCCACCTTCCACCCCTCTCCCTGCTGCTGCCTGTGCACCCATCAACCTCTCTCGCTCCATATCCCCTTTCACATCCCCCATTCCCGAATCACCAAGAACAAAATCACCATTCTCCACCCCATCAACCCCTCCGCTGTCCGCTTCTCTCACCTCCCCCATCTCCACCTCATCTCCTGCCCCTTCCTGATCCTCCAAGTCACTATCGTTCCCAGAAACCCCCTCTCCTACAGCCATCTCATCCTTCTCATCCTTCCCATCCTTCCCATCCTTCCCATCCTTCCCCTGTACGCTTGCCTCCTCTTCTTCTTCCTCTTCTCCTCCGTCTTCTTCTCTTCCACTCCTCAATCCATCCTTCCCCAGCCCAGTCCCCTCCCTTCTCCCAAACCCCCTCCCTCTCATTCCTCTCCTACCTCCTCCCCTCCCCTCTGCCCGACCTCGCTGCATCTGCCCTTCTAACTCCGCCTCCGCACCTCCCCTTGCCAATCTCCCTTCTCCCTTCTCCCGCGCTCCGTCATCATCGTTCTCTCTCATACCTTCTCCTGACCCCCTCCTCCCCTGCACTCCTTTCTCCTCTGTACCTTCTCCCTTCTCCTCTGTACCTTCTCCCTTCTCCTCTGCACCTTCTCCCTTCTCCTCACCTCTGCATGCCTCGGTCCCTGTCTGTCCCATCACTTCATCGCTTGGCTTCTGAATCACATGCATCAGCCCGCCTCCCGCCTCCCCAGTCCCTCCCATCCCTCCCGTCTCTCCCGTCGCTCTCGTGCCTCTCATCCCGCTTCTTCCCCTCCTCCCCCTTCCAATCGCCCTCGATACTCCCAAATCTCTCAGTTCTCCTGCTCCTCCCTCTGTTCCCGTCCTGTCCTCAGGAATCATATCGAAATCAATACTCACTTCCTCCACAACCTCACCAACCCGCCCACCACTGCCCACCACACCCCTCCCCTCTCCCGCCTCTCCACCCTCACTCATCTCCCGCACTTCAATTTCACCTCCTGACATCTCACCTGCTCTTCCTGCCTCCACCTTCCGCTCCTCTTCCACTTCTCCTTCCCCACGTTCCCCCACTTCTGATGCTCTCCCCCTCTGCACTTCTCCCCTTGCCCACCTGCCCCTCCCCCTCCACCTGCCTCTGCCCCTACCCCTGCCTCTACCAGTTTTGCCAGCTGCCTGCTCCATGCCTGTAGCAGTAACAGCAGTAACAGCAGCGGCAGCTGCTGCTGCTGACGCTGCTACTGCTTCTGCTACTGTTGCTGTTGTTGTTGCTCCAGCTTTACGAAAGGCTTGATAATCGCTAACAGAAGCACCAACACCGCCACCACCACCACCACCACCACCACCACCGCCACCGCCACCACCAGCAGTGGCAGCACCATCACCATCAGCAGCAGCATCAACATCAACACTATCACCATCACCCTCACCAGCAGCATCACCATCATCACCGGCAGCAGCAGCAGCAGGCACACCACGCCTGCTGCCACCCGTCTGACTCCTCGTCCCACTCCTCTTCATCCCCACGCGCCCCTCAAACCCCTTCATCTTCCTCTCTACCACAGCCATAGCCCTCTCCTGCGGCTGCGGCTGCGGCTGCTGCTGCTGCTGCTGCTGCTGCTGCTGCTCCCTAGCTTCCACCACATCCTCTTCTCCTGACGCATCACCAACTGCCTTTGACTTGCCTCCCCGTCTCACACCTTCCTCTCTCCCTCTTTTCCTCCTCTTCTCCCTGCCCCTCCACCTGCTTGCACTCTCCCTCCCATCATCCTCACGCATTCCTGCCTCTTCCTCTTTTCCCTCTACCTCCTCCTCCCCACCACTCCTCACCGGAGGTACCTCCTCCACATCTTCCTCCTCCTCTGCTGCCTCATCCCCACCACGTCTTCCTCTGCTCCTCTGCTCCTTCCCTGCCCTCTCACCCACTTCCTCCTCCTCCACCTCCTCCACCTTCTCTTTCTCCTCTTCCGCATCATATGCACCAACCTCCCCTCCCTCTTCCTCTCCACTCGGAATCAACCACACGTCCTCCTCATCCTGCCCTTCACTTCCTTCCTCCTCCTCCTCCCCTTCTCCCACCCTGTCCTTCTCTTTCCCCACCCGCCGCTGAGGACGCACCACCCTTGCGCCCCACCGCCCTGCACTCTTCCTTCTCGCCCCTCGCTCCCTCCCCCGCCCTCTCCTCTCCCGCCCTCTCTCCCCCCTCACATCCCTCCTTCCACCACCCCAACCACCCTCCCCCACCACCTCACTCCATCTGCGCATCCTCAATCTACCCCCCCTCAGATCATCCAAACCAGCCTCCACACTCACTCCACCCTCCACACTAACCCCACCTTCCTTTCCCTCTTCCTCACCTCTCAACCTTCCTCCTGCCATTCTCACCCGCTCTGCACTTCCCTGTATCTCAACAGCCCCAACAGTATCCTTTCCTGTCCTCCCAACCCCAACCTCACTTGCACCCTCACCCTCACCGTTGCTCTCACTCTCACCTCCGCCTCCTCTCTCGCTCTCGCCATTCGCGCCACCGGTCCCACCATCCTCTCTCCCAGCAGCAACCACCTCGCACACACCTCCCTCACTCATTGAACCACGCTCCACACTCTCTCTCTCCTTACCCGGCCCCTCACGTCCCGCTGCATTCAAGCTCGCATGTGATTCTTTAGTCGACTCAAAAACTGCACTTTCTCTCTTCTTACCCTGCCCCTCACGTTCAGTTCCATCCAACCTCGCATGCGTGCCCACCCTTTGCCTGTTTTCTCCTGCCTTCCCCTGTCCCCTCACTCCCTTCACCTCCCTCCCTCGCTGCCCCTCCGTTCCCCCCTGTTCCTCCCGATCTTTCTGTCCCTCTCTTTCTCTCTGCCCTTCTCTCTCTTTCTGCCTCTCTCTTTCTTTCTGGCCCTCTCTCTCTTTTTGCACCTCTCTCTCTTTCTGCTCCTCTCTCTCCCTCTGCCCCTCAACTGTCACACACACACTGATTCTGGCGCCGTTTCCTTTGTTTCTTAACAACAAATCCTGAGCACTCAAACCCTCACTACTCTTCTCTCCCCTCTCGGCGCCTTCCTCAACACGCCCCCCATTTCCCCGACCCTCCTGCTTTTCTTTCTTACTCTTATCTTCTTCCGCCCGTTCCTCCTTCTCACCCTCTCTACCCTCTTTCTCCTCCGCACTCCCTCCTTTATCCCCCCCCAATATCACCTCCTTCACCCCTCCAGCCAGCAGCACGCCCTTACCCTTCAACTTCCCTCTTCTCCTCGCCATCCTCCCATTCCCCACACGCCCTTCGTCCCCATCGTCATCTCCTCCTTCACTCCCTACCAAATCCACACCCCCTTCTCCCCCGTCCACCCCTCCCTCCCCCTCCTCCTCTTCCTCCTCCTCCACCTTCTCTTCTTCTTCCTCCTCCTCTTCTTCCTCCTCCTCCTCCTCCTCCTTCTCTTCCTCCTCTTCCTTTTCTTCCTCTTCTTCTACCTCTTTCACTCCCCTCCCCTCACCCCTTCCGTGCCCCTCTGCCCCTCTTCGTCCCCATCGTCCCCTCCCTCTCGCGCTGCCTCGGCCCCCCCCTCTCATTCCTCCTACCCCCCGCCCGGTTCCTCCTCTCGTCCCCACAGCCCCTCCTCTCCCACCTCTACCCCTTCCCCTTGTTCCCCTGCCAATAGCTCCTCTACCTGCCCCCCTCAATGCCCACGCCTCCCCTTCACCCTCCCTCTCCTCCTCGCTCTCCACCCCTCCCCCCACATGCTCACTCTCCTTCCGGTCACCCTTCCCCGCCCCCTTCCCCACTTTCCCCTCTGCCGCCATATCACCCTCTCTACCCAACTCCCTTCCGCCCCTCTCTGCAGTCCTCCCCCCTCCCCTTCCCCCTTCCCCGCTGAAACGTCGTATGCTCCGCCGGCCCTCCCATCCTTCCACGTCCGGGCTCCCCCCTTGGCTGGGACTGTCCGCGCCACCCTTTCCCCCAGCGCCAAGCAGCGCGTCCAGCTCCCGCCTCCCCCGCTTCCTCCGCGCGCTGCCCTCCCCGGAGGCCGGGGAGGGGGACACCGCCGCTCCTGCGCTGCGAGCAGCAGCTGTAGTTCCCCCCGAGCCCGTCAGATCTACTACTGCGCCGGTTGCTCCAAACGGAGAGGCTTCTATCGGGGACGGTGAGCCGTGCTCATGCAGCTGCCGCGCCTGCAGCCGCGGCTGCTGCCGCGCGCCGCGGGATCTTCCCGCCGACCCGGAGGGTTGCGGAGAGGGGTCGCCGCCAGATGGTAGATTGGCGGCGGCCGCCGCTGCCGCCCTTCGCCGCGATGGTGGCGGGTCGCCTGCAGGCGCTGCCGGCGACGGCCGCATGACCAATCACTGCATGCCACGTGTTTGCAAACCAGAGGATGGCGAAATCTGCGAGCAGATCCGTTAAGATGGAAAGCGGAGAGAGTTTAAGCTCAAGGTAGCAGCTACTAAAGATGCCAGGCCGCACCCGTTCGCGCTCCTGCAAAGATCGACGGAAAAGCGTACTTGCACAGTAGTGAGAGGCTTAAGAAAACTTCGTCACGCTTTGCAGGCAAGGTGGAAGTCCCCCCAAAAAAATCACTTCCGATCGGGATAATATCACGGTTGCCACGACGCGGGGATTTCCGGGACGCAATAACTAAAGAAAGTACCGCGATGAAACATGGAATTTGTAACTAAAGAAATATAGAAGCCTCTAATCTAAGCATTTAAAATGCATGCGTAAGCTAAGAAATCGTGAAAGAACGACGCTGCTCGAGCGAGCAAGTGCAAGTGACCAAGTCTCCCAATGTCGAGAGAAAACTGTCGCGAGGGAGGGAGGGAGGGTTGGCTCAGCAGAAGGCGGCTGTGATGAGATGGGTCGGCTCCTGCCTCGATTCCGAAGCACAGAACAAGCTGGTGGCGACGACTTGGCTAAAACAACGCAGTTACACTGCAAAAGGGACCACGGTACTTAATTAAGTCCTGGTCCTGCGACTGTCAAGAAGAAATACCTGCTCTGGGACCTCAGGTTTCGAGGAGTGACAAACTGAGTTTGACAAACTGAGCCCGACGCGATGTCGTCGTGTTTCCGGATCGCAGGGAGGGTTAGGTTTGGTCCATGCCATGCTCGTCTCATCCACATCCCTTGCGATAACCAGCGTTGTCGAAATGTCTCTCGACACAAGTAACCAGATTTCGGGAGTGCAGTTACAAGCTGCTTGTGTGGAGTATGTATGGCCGTTGGGTTGGACGTGGCACATGACAAACCCCTCGACGCTGATAGGCTGAACCTTGAAACGGAGCGTCCTTGTAGGCGACTGACAGCGAACGACAGTGCGGCAGATCCCCACGGTATTCCCGGAAGCAACCAGTTTGTCGTCACACACTCGGTCCCCGAAAACTAGGCTCAGTTGTGAGATTCCCCACGGTCCTATGCTTTATACTAGTGTTTCTGAATGTTACAGTGCGGTGTCCCGACGTCCCCTCGAGCATAGTGCACATTGTTGGAACCTTTTCCTTGGGCAGATATTTTCTTTGACATTCCTCTCGTCGGAACCTCTTCATCTAACTCGCTGCAGCCTCCAACAACAGCTGCAACGTGTGGTGTCTCGCCTACTCCTCCCATCCCATATTAACAGCTTACGGTATTGTGTTCATCTGTCTCCTATTTAACTGTTTCGCTGTAAGCCACCCGCATTATTGATTCCCCTATTGCTGGGTATCACCGAACCACCATTCGTTGGATCTTCGCCGAACCATCATGGATCGACTCTCCGCCGCCCTTCCAGCGCACAAGAGCGCGTTCTTTTCCGCCTCCGTTCCACTCAGCACGCGCGCGGTAGCGCCACCCCGGCGCGCGGCTTCCCCCTCCACGCTTCCCCCCATCTCCAACATCTTCTTCCTCCGCCCGCGGGCCCCCCCGCCGCCGCCGCCGTCGCAGGAGCCGCCGAGCACGGGGAAGGTCCCCGCGCCGGGGCGGTACGGCGGGGCGCCGCTCGACAAGCGGATTCGGCAATCGTGGGGCGGGAAGGAGGAGGATCCGTTGGAGTCGGGCGAGTATATCTGGAACACGGAGTGGAAAAAAACAGTCACGGTGGACGATGCTGACAAGAACAAGGTAGTGCGCCGTGGTCTGGTACGGCGCGGCGTGGTGTGGCGTGGCGTTGGATGGGGTGGTTGAGGCATTGTGATGTAGTGGAGCGGAGCGGCGCGCGATGCTGTGTGTCGTAGTGTATTGTCGGTGGCGCGCGATGTTGTGTATCCCCTCCTCCTCTCCTTTCTCCTCATTCCTTACCGCCAACCTGTGTGTTTCCTCCCAACGCGTGTGTTCCCCGCACCCGTATTTCCCCCGCCCGCCCGAGTTTCATCCCCATCCCACCCTTGTCGCCCCCCTACCCGCGCGCGCGTTTCCCCCCATGCGTGCATGCCCGTCAGGCGGCAGCAGAGGATCCAATCGCATCAGCCGTGTCGTCCAACGACCCCGGCACTTCTGACGGCGGTTTCCTCTCCCTCGGCCGCTCGCTTGCCCTCGACAGGTCAGCCAGTCAGTTGACTTTCGCATTCGCGTTCGCGTTCGCGTGGTGATAGCTGGAGGAGATTTTTGAGTTCACTCGGAAATGCTCTCCCTTGCTCGCTCCCTTGCCCGCTATTTTGAGAATTCTCTGAAGCGCCTCGGCTTGTCCATCATCATCATCATCGTCGTCGTCGTCGTCGTCGTCGTCATCATCACAACCACGAGATTCAAATCAGTCTGTTTCAGAGGCGCCTCCTCCTCCTCCTCACCTCAAATTTACACGACTCACCACATCGCTTCACACATCCTCCTCCATTTTCTCCACCATCACTCCCTCCCTCCTCCCTACCACCCATCATCGCCCATATCTCCCCCCCTCCACCCCCATCCCCCGCTCCCACCTCCCACACCACAGCATGGACGTGGTTCTGAGTGCGGAGCTGAACCAGCCCAGCAAGGCCACTTTGAAGAAACCAACTAGTCTGGCCGCCCTTCTTTCCATGTTCGCTCTAACACTCAAGCATCATCCATTTCCCCCTCCCTCCTGTCCCCCCTCGCATTCCCCCAACAGCATGGACGTGGATCTGAGTGCGGAGCTGAACCGCCCCAGCAAGGCCACTCTGGAGAAGCAGGTGGAGGCAGCCCGCCGTGCAGCTGGCATGCAGGTAGGGGTGGGACGGGGATAGGGTCACGGGCACGGGCATGGGCATGGGCACGGGCACAGGCATGGGCATGGGCACGGGCACAGGCATGGGCATGGGCACGGGCACAGGCATGGGCATGGGTATGGGTACGGGCATGGGCACGGGCACAGGCACGGGCACAGGCATGGGCATGGGCACGGGCACAGGCATGGGCATGGACACGGGCACAGGCATGGGCATGGGCATGGGCATGGGTACAGGCATGGGCATGGGCACGGGCACAGGCATGGGCATGGGTACGGGCACAGGCATGGGCATGGGCACGGGCACAGGCATGGGCATGGGCATGGGTATGGGTACGGGCATGGGCACGGGCACAGGCATGGGCACAGGCATGGGCATGGGCACGGGCACAGGCATGGGCATGGGCACGGGCACAGGCATGGGCATGGGCATGGGCATGGGTACAGGCATGGGCATGGGCACGGGCACAGGCATGGGCATGGGCACGGGCACAGGCATGGGCATGGGCATGGACACGGGCACAGGCATGGGCATGGGCACGGGCACAGGCATGGGCATGGGTATGGGTACGGGCATGGGCACGGGCACAGGCACGGGCACAGGCATGGGCATGGGCACGGGCACAGGCATGGGCATGGGCACGGGCACAGGCATGGGCATGGGCATGGGTACAGGCATGGGCATGGGCACGGGCACAGGCATGGGCATGGGTACGGGCACAGGCATGGGCATGGGCATGGGCACGGGCACAGGCATGGGCATGGGTATGGGTACGGGCATGGGCACGGGCACAGGCATGGGCACAGGCATGGGCATGGGCACGGGCACAGGCATGGGCATGGGCACGGGCACAGGCATGGGCATGGGCATGGGCATGGGTACAGGCATGGGCATGGGCACGGGCACAGGCATGGGCATGGGTATGGGTATGGGCATGGGCACGGGCACAGGCATGGGCACAGGCATGGGCATGGGCACGGGCACAGGCATGGGCATGGGCACGGGCACAGGCATGGGCATGGGCATGGGTACGGGCACAGGCATGGGCATGGGCACGGGCACAGGCATGGGCATGGGTATGGGTATGGGCATGGGCACGGGCACAGGCATGGGCACAGGCATGGGCATGGGCACGGGCACAGGCATGGGCATGGGCACGGGCACAGGCATGGGCATGGGTACGGGCATGGGCACGGGCACAGGCATGGGCATGGGTACGGGCATGGGCACGGGCACAGGCATGGGTATGGGTACGGGCATGGGCACGGGCACAGGCATGGGTATGGGTACGGGCATGGGCACGGGCACAGGCATGGGTATGGGTACGGGCATGGGCACGGGCACAGGCATGGGTATGGGTACGGGCATGGGCATGGGTACGGGCATGGGCATGGGTACGGGCATGGGCATGGGTACGGGCATGGGCATGGGTACGGGCATGGGCACAGCCGCACGGGCATGGGCATGGGTACGGGCATGGGCATGGGTACGGGCATGGGCACAGCCGCACGGGCATGGGCACAGCCGCACGGGCATGGGCACAGCCGCACGGGCATGGGCACAGCCGCACGGGCATGGGCACAGCCGCACGGGCATGGGCACAGCCGCACGGGCATGGGCACAGCCGCACGGGCATGGGCACAGCCGCACGGGCATGGGCACAGACGCACGGGCACTGTGAGGATGTTGTTAAGAGAGAGTGGATGCGAAAGAGGAAAGGCCACTCTGGAGAAGCAGGTGGCGGCAGGCCACTCTGCTGCACTGGAAGGCAGGAAGTGGGGGGAGGCAGGGGAGGGGTTAGGAGCAGCAGGGGCACTGGGAATGAAGAAAGGGCTGGGGCAGGCAGGGGAAGTGGAAGGGACAGGAACAATGGGCGAAAGGGCCGAAGTGAGGGAGAGGAAGCGTGCGGGTAGATGTGTGAGTGATGAGATAAATGTTGGATTAGATGCTGTGTGAGTGATGCAGGGAAGAAGGATGGGGGGTTTGTGTGGGATGTATCATATACACATCAGACTGAGAATTGCCCTTTGAGAATTTCTGTGTTTGAGAATTCTCAAAAAGCGCATTATGTATGCATGCCATGCGTGCTACTTGTGTATGGTGTGTGCCTCTACGTGTGCCATGTGCGCATGTACATATGTACGCGTGAACGAGTGCGCATGTGTGTCTGTGGCCCTGTGCCTGCTGTGTGCATGTGTGCGTGTGTGCCTTGTGTGTGACTGACTGCCACGCTCACAGGCACAGCAGGCGAGCAGTGAGGGCAAGATCAAGTGGCGCTATGCCCCGACCACCAAGGAGGAGAGGCAGTGGGCCGAGGCCAACAGGAAGAGCGCCAAGATGGTTGTGAGTCACGAAGCTTCCTCCCCTCCGCTCCCCCGCACCGCACCCCCTTTTCCACATGCCCACATGAGGAGGCATTTGTGAGCCATTTCACTTCTCTGCCCACTCCAAACCAATGGTTCTCCGTCCTGACAAATACATTGTGTCCTGTCCTGTCCGGCGGACCGCTTCCGAAAAAAAAGAAAAACTAATAAAGGGATCATGTTTTCCTCATTCGCATCTGCTTTCTTCCCTTCCCTCCTTTATGCACTTGCTGTTTCTTCCCTTTCTCGCCCCAACCTCTTCTCTCCTAGCCTCTCCATCTCACCCCACACCCCACTCTCCCACACTCCCAACTTCCAGTAGTTCTGTCCTGTTTTTAACGTTCTTTCCTCCCTACTCTGCCCTGCATCCATATGGCTTTCAAGTATTGCAAGCTGCCTTCCCACGTTTCCCAAACCGAATCCAAACCAAGAAGAACGTGATTCTCCACACATGTAGCTCTGAGCATAAATGTTAAAAATGTGCTGAATACGGAATGAGACTACTGTTTGCCTCACTTTTGCCTTAACTTCCCTCTCTCTCATCCCCTTCGTCCCTTCGTCCCCTCGTCCCCTCGTCCCTTGCCACACTCCCCCCGCTGTTCCGCCCTGTGTGTGTGCGTGCAACAGATGGCGTTTGTGGAGAAGGAGGAGCCGCTCACCCCGCAGCAGATAGCAGAAAGAGAGAGGCAGCAGTATGAGAAGGTGACGCACCAGCCCTTGACTGCCCCCGTTGGGTTAAGGGCTAGAGGCTTGCTTGGAGGAGAGGGGATTGGGGCTAGGGGCTAGGGCATTGGGGCTTAGGGTTCAGGGTTTGAGGTTGGGGCTAGGGAATTGGGGCTCGTGCCTTGGGGCTGGGGGCTAGGGTTTTGAGGTTATCTTGTGTCGATACAGAAAAAGGCACCATTTTATTGCTCGTTTACGGGCCCCCCTTCCCTTCCCCCACCCGTTCTGGCATCAACACACACATGCACGCACACACAGATTCGCACACATGCACGCACACACAGATTCGCACACATGCACGCACACACAGATTCGCACACATGCACGCACACACAGATTCGCACACATGCACGCACACACAGATTCGCACACATGCACGCACACACAGATTCGCACACATGCACGCACACACAGATTCGCACACATGCACGCACACACAGATTCGCACACATGCACGCACACATAGATTCGCACACATGCACGCACACATAGATTCGCACACATGCACGCACACACAGATTCGCACACATGCACGCACACACAGATTCGCACACATGCACGCACACACAGATTCGCACACATGTACGCATACACATGCCCGCAAACACATGCCCGGGCCAGCCATCCATCCCCACACACACATGCTTGTTCTTTCCTCGATTACACCCTACCCGCCCCTCCCTCTCCACCACCCGCCTGTGTTTGTCACTGCCTCAAACCCTATCCGCACTTACACCCCTATCCCGTCCTCCCCTCCCCTCTCCCCCCACACACACTCCCGTTTCCCCCTCGTTTGACTGCTTGTGCTGTCTCTCGAATTTACTGTCTGCACACACCACTGGTTGCTTCTGTTTGCTGCTGGTTGCTTTGCTGCAGCTGAAGCAGAGCCTGGTGCTAACGACGCTGGGGTTGGGAGTGGTGTTCACAGGCACTGCTGCTGTGCTCTACAGCCCTGAGGTTGCTGTCAGGTGAGGCAGTGAGGAACGGGGAGTGGGATGAGAGAAGAAGAGAGGCTTGAGTGGTGTTCACAGGCACTGCTGCTGTGCTCTACAGCCCTGAGGTTGCTGTCAGGTGAGGCGGGGCAGGAGCAGAGAGAGGAGAGTCGAAGATAGGCTTTTGCTAGTCTTTTTGGAAGACCTCAAGCATGGTCACTGCACTGCGGGGATGCTGCTATGCTCTACAGCCCTTGAGGTTGCTGCCAGGTGAGGCGGTGAAGGGACGGGGGTAGGGGGGAGAGGGAGGGACGGGAAGAGGGAGATAAGACGAGAGGCTTTATCGACAGTCACTTCTGAGTGCTGCTGTTGCCTGTACAGCCCTGAGGTTTCTGCAAGGTCATGGGGTGGAGGAGCGGGGAGAGGAGAGCGAGGTGGAGGAGTGGAGAGAGGGAGAAGTGGGGAGAAGGAGGAAGGGTTGGGAAGAGGAAGGGAAGGTTGGGGAGAGGAGAAGGAGGATCGGGAACGAGGCTACTTAGGAGTACAACACAGCACATTGATTCTGGTGATCCTGCTGACTGTTCCGCATTTTTGCCTACCCTCTCCTACCCGCACATTCCCATTCTCCGCCCGCCCATCCACCCACCCACGGTGTTGTGTGTGTCCCGCGCAGCTATGCGGTGGGTGCAGTGGGGTCACTGGTGTACGTGCACATGCTCTCCTCTAGTGTGGAGGCTCTGGGAGCCAACTCAAAAACCACTTGTTCCTCGCCCCCATTCCTTGTGTGTCCCATGCAGCTATGCGGTGGGCGCAGTGGGGTCACTGGTGTACGTGCGCATGCTCTCGTCCAGTGTGGAGGCGCTGGGAGCTAACTCTGTTCAGGGCGCTGTCAGGTGCAATCTCGCTCCCTCACTCACTCTCTCACCCACCGTGTGTCAGGTGCGCACTCACTCTCTCACTCTGCATCAGGTGCACACTTGAACATCCGCCCACTCTGCATCAGCCCACTGTCATGTGCTGAGTCTAGGCTCTGTGCTGCGAGCTATGCGTAAGGGGGCGTGTAGATCCTCTTGGAGAGGATGAGGCCTTCGTGGCAGGCAGTAGCACTCTTTGGGAATCACTTTTGAGAATTCTCAAAAGGGGCGTGTAGAAAGAGGATGAGGCCTTCGTGGCAGGCAGTAGCACTCTTTGGGAATCACTTTTGAGAATTCTCAAAAGGGGCGTGTAGAAAGAGGATGAGGCCTTCGTGGCAGGCAGTAGCACTCTTCAATGCATGACTGCTTCGTCGTTCATCTTCAGTAGCGCTACCAAGAGGCAATATCTCTGTCTATTGGTTTGGCGTTCATCCATCTGTTTACTTCCATACTTGCCTTCCCTCGCTTCAATTTTCCCTTTTTTTTCCTCTCCTCTTCTTTCCTTCTCTCTCCCCCTCTCTCCTCCTCCCTCCCTCCTCCACACTCCTCTTCTCGCCCCTCTCTCCTCCCCGCTCCTCCTCGCCCCTCCTCTTTCATCCTCGCTCCTCCTCGCTCCTCCTCTCTCCTCCTCGCTCCTCCTCTCTCCTCGCTCCTCCTCGCTCCTCGCTCCTCTGCGCACCTCCACATGGTGCGCGGCCAATGGTCCATGGCAGGGGAGCTGTGGGTCAGCCCAGGCTGTTAGTGCCGGTGGTGCTCGTCATGGCGTTTAACAGATGGAACGAGTAAGCGTTCAAAAGATGGTGAATGTTGTCATGTTTTCATGGTATGATGGCATGTTGTGATGATGGCATGGTGGGATGGCATATTGTGATGATGGCTTGTTGTGATGATGGCACGTTGTGATGATGGCTTGTTGCGATGATGGCTTGTTGCGATGATGGCTTGTTGTGATGATGGCTTCTTGTGATGATGGCTTCTTGTGATGATGGCTTCTTGTGATGATGGCTTCTTGTGATGATGGCTTCTTGTGATGATGGCTTCTTGTGATGATAGCTTGTTGTGATGATGGCATGGTGTGATGATGGCATGGTGTGATGATGGCATGGTGTGATGATGGCATGGTGTGACGGCACAGCCAAGGGACAGCATTATGTCAAACCCTTCCCCTCGCTTTTCTTGTCTCAACTCAAGAACACCACGCCCTCATGTCACTCCATTTCTCACACAACACCTTACGTATCCTCCCGTACACTTTAATTCGCAACACCGTCTCACCATCTTCCCGTTCCCTTCCTCTCTTTCCCCGCCCTCTCTCCCATACCTGCTCACCCCTCTGCCCCCTGCGCACAGGATTCTGGTGCCGCAGTATGGAGCAGTGCCTCTAGAGCTCATCCCCAGGCTAGTGGAGTTCTTTGCGTCTCCTTTCGTCCTCATTCCCAGCTCTCTCTCCCTGCTCTCATTCCCCCTCCTCTCTCTACCCACCCTCTCCGATTTCACACTCGCTCCTCTGCCCCCTGCGCACAGGATTCTGGTGCCGCAGTACGGAGCAGTGCCTCTAGAGCTCATCCCCATGCTAGTGGGGTTCTTCACATACAAGGCAGCCACCATCACCCAAGCATTACAGGACATGCTTGCTCCCTTGGCTTCCCCTCCTTCTGCCTCCTCCTCCACCTCCTCAGCCTCCTCCGAATCTTCGTCTTACTCTGAGGCATCGTCATCATCGGCTGGCTCACCTTCTTCGTCGTCCTCGGCTTCCTCGTCCTCCTCCTCGTCCTCCTGATGTATTTCTTCGTGTCATACTGGTACAGCTGGTGTACGGTATACATGAACACGTTTCTAGATTTGAGATGGTATGGTGCCCCAGCTTCTCAAGCGTGCAGCTTGAGGTGTAGCAGTGTGCATGATGATGCTACTCTGGTACAGTGAATACTTAACTGTTCCACCCTTCATTAAAATATGGTTCTGTATCTCATGTCTGGATTGAACTACGGATTTACGAGTTTTACCACCAGGCAGTTCTCAACTTCGCGCAAATATCGAGCAAGACAACCGCGTTCCGAACCTCTTTCAGGACCCGTTACCCGTTTCCCCAGACCCCACACGTGATTGTTCGTCCGCGCTACTAGCCTTGCTTCGTCTCGTTACAAGCCGGGCGTGTGGCCGCGCACCGCGGCGACACGTGCGTGCACTGCTCGACGCATCGCCATCCACCACTACAACTGCGACAACTGCTACTCCTGCTATTCCTACATCTCCTGTTGCTACTGTTACAGCTGCGACTACTGTTACCACGTCCGCTCCCCCACCTACGCCGTGCGCCACTGCTCTCGCCTCCGCCATCGCCCCCATTCCCGCTGCTCGCGCGGATCCCTGCTGTTGTGCCCCCGCGAGTAGCGCTGGCCCCTCCGCCGCTCCCCCGACCTCCTCCACAATCTCGACGTTTCCCGTTGATTCCGCCTTCCCCGCTTATCCCGCGCACCCGTCTCGCTCTGCGTATTCCGCTCACCCCTCTCACTCCGCTCATTCCGCGCATCCCTCCCCCCCCGCTCATTCCGCGCCTTTCGCCGGTGACACTGGGCGCGGGGCCGCGCGGCGGATCACCGCGCTCATTGCGCGGCCACGGGATGGCGGGCGGAGATGGTATGGCGGTGATGCGAGTGGAAGGGGACGAGATGCGGGCGAGGAGGAGGAGGTGGTTGTTTCAGGGGAGCTGGGAGGGCACGCAGGGGGGGGAGGGGAAGCGGGAGGTGATGATGAGGAAGAGAGAAGGGAAGCGGATGTGGAGGCGGTGCGAGAGGAAGACGACGCTAGCATGGACCTATCATGGCACCCCTCTGGACTGGTACTACTCGAGTTCCGTCCCTCCCTTCCTTACCCTTCTCCGTTCCTCAATCTTGCCCATCCGCTCCTCGCCGTCTCCTCACCGCTCCCCATCGCTCTCGCCCCACCCTTGTTCGCCCCACCCTTTCTCGCCCCACCCTTTGTCCGCCTGCTCTCCTCTCCTGCGCCCATGCGACCCCCACCCCTCCCCTTCGTCCTCCCCTCTCTCCCCCAGCCGTCAGCGCGTCTCCCTTGCCTCACCCCATCAGAGGCAGCGCAGCTACTGACCAAGGGGCGGGCGCGGGACATCCGTATACTACACGTGGCGGGGCGCTGCCAGTGCCCGCATGCTCTCTGCTTCCACCCTCCCTCTCACACGCTCCTTCTCTTACCCCTCCTCTCCAGTTTTCTCGCCTTCTCCCCTTTCTCCTCCTTTCCTTTCCTCCTCACGTCCCCCTCTTTTCCGCCCCCCCGCTCCTCCCCGCCTTCCCCCCCCTCCTCCTCTCCTCTCTCCTCCCCTCCCAGCCGTCAGCGAGCCTGCCCAGTCTCTCCCCATCAGAAGCAGCGCAGCTACTGACCAAGGGGCGGGCGCGGGACATCCGCATACTGAACGTCGCAGGGCGCTGCCAATGGGCGGAGCACCTCGTGCTTGCAAGTGCCCACTCCACGCGCCACGCCAGAGGGCTCGCCGCAGGGCTGGCTTACGAGGTGCGTTGTGTGGCGCCGTGAACTCTACTTGCCCTCAACTCCAGGTGCTGTGCGCCCTCTGTGTCGTTCCACAGCCAGGGCTGGGCGGGCGGAGCACCTGGTGCTCGCCACGGCCCACTCACTCCACGCGCCACGCCAGAGGCTTTGCATCGCAGCCGGGCTGGTCCAAGAGGTGCATTGTGCTCTAAGTCTCAGCTGTGAGGCGAGGCGGCCTGAACTCCAAATGCCCTCGAGTCGAGGTGTACCTTGTGTGTTTTGCCAGTGGGCGGAGCGGAGCACCTAGTGCTCGTGCTCGTGCTCACCATGGCTCACACTCCTCTCCGCCCCTAGTCCTCCACGCTTCACCTTTCCACCAGTTTTAGACGTCCCAAACCATCCCTTTTCGCACCCTATCCTCCCCCCGTTGCACGTACCATGTCATCCTCGCTTCCTCTCATCCCCTCATCCTCTCATCCTCTCACTGTGCTGCACACGCCAGTTGAAGCAGCGGTATGTGAGGCAGGGCATGGCAGCGCGCGCGCCAGAGGTGGAGGGCAAGGAGGCGGAGCACTGGATGCTACTGGACTGCGGTCAGTTGGGAGGGGGCGGGGGGGGGGTTGGAGGGGAGGTGGGGAGTAAGGGGGGTTCGGTGCAAGGGGGAGACTTGTTTTGAGGCGCCTCAGAAGAAGTAACTTGCAGCAGCGCGGGCGCCAGAGGTGGAGGGCAAGGAGGCGGAGCACTGGATGCTGCTGGACTGCGGTCAGTGGGGGAGGTTGGATTGGGTGAGGGAAGGGGGAAATGGGATGGTGGGGGATGGGGAAAAGGGGATGGTGGGGGAAGGGGAAAAGGGGATGGTGGGGGAAGGGGAAAAGGGGATGGTGGGGGAAGGGGCGGAGAAGGAGTTGCCTCACCACACTTCCCCTCAGCCACACCACCACCACCACCTTGCTCATCTGCCCTCGCTCCCTGCGCCCTGAAACCCTAAGCTATGTATCAACGTTGTTGCTAACGCTCATTTGTCCACCACCCTTCTTTGTCCCGGCTGTCCCACTGCTTTGCTTCTCACAACCAACTTCTCATCGCCCAACAACTAGCTAACCTTCTGAGAAATCCCAAAGAACCAACCCTTCATTGCCCCGTTCCCTCTTTCTTACACTTCACTTCCCATCATCCAACACCCTCAATCCTCCATCCCCTCTTCTCCTCTCTCCCATCTTCAATCCCTCCTCTCCTCCCCACCATCCCACCCTTTATTCCTTTCGTTCTACCCCAACTTCCCTTGCATTCTTGCGAAATGCACGTTGGTGCATGCAATGACGGAGGAACCCTTGTATGTGTCTGCAGCAGCTGCACACACCTCACGAGCTCTCCCACCCTTCCTCCCCTCCACATGTTCTTCGCCCATTCTAACGTTTCTTGTGTGTGCGGGTGCAGGGCGCACGGTGGTGCATGTGATGACGGAGGAGGGCAGGCGGAGGTACAAGGTGGAGGCGCTGTGGGAGGGCAAGGGGGAGGGAGGGGAGAGGGGGGAGGGGGGGGAGGAGAAAACTGATGCTGATGCTGACGCACGGGCGTTGTGAGCTGGGTGGGAGCTGGAGTCAGTCAGGCAGTCAGTCAGCCCTCAACACAAATAAAGGGATTTGTGCACGAGTAGGGAGCTGGCTGGGACACGCACTGAGAGGGCTGCTACGTGCTGTCAAGTGCTGAGTAGGATTCCTGCTGAATCCTGACCTGATGCAGCTTGGTCCAGTCCCAGGCATGTGTGGTTGGGATCAGTACTGTAGTACCAGTAGTACGGTAGTGCATGTAATGGATGCTTACTCATGGAAGGGTGTGGTTTTGTCATTTTTTCTCTTGTGGTATGGTGTAGCGCAATCGCAGCATGCGCTGAGTTACAGATTACAGTGCTGCTCTTGTACTACCATACTGTTACGGGTGCAATGGAACGAGATAGCGAGGATTGCATTAGGTGTCAAACGAGGACAAAGTATGAGCGAAGGCATAAGCGAATGCTTATACGCTAACATGTAAATGTTAACGCGGTGCATGCGAGCTAGCTAGTGCTAGGCTGGCATTGAGGTTCGGGCTATTCCCAAAGCGTAGGCCGATGCGGCCAGCCCAGCGGACCATGGTTTGGTGAAACAGTGCGCGCGAATTTGGCGAGGGCCCATAAGCAGTAATGTGCGAACAACAGCTACTGCTGTACGCGATGTTGACGTACACAGTGAGGGATGCCGCAAAATTCCTTACACTACCCCTTCCCCTCCCTCCCCACCCCCCCCCCCCCCCTCCCCCCCCCTCCCTCCCTCTTAAGAAGCCCCCTCCGCTACGCAAGTGCGTGTATATCGCGGAAACCCCGGCTCCTCAGGTACACTTGCAGGTCAGGGTGGTTTTCGATGTAGGCCAGGGGCACTCAGCTATCTTCAGTTGGCGTACAGACCTTTCAACGAACGAGGAACTTGATTCTCTTGATGCCTGTGGGATGACGAATTCGATGGCTCAGGATCTTCTCGGGCTCAACGATCGGCTCCGATACAGGGCGAGCTATGGATGGTGGTGGGCGATGGCGTTGATACAATTTGAACCGTCTTATAGGATCGTCTCAGGTTGATCGCACGGAGTGTGGCAGCGGAAGATTGCTTGGTAATGTCGGGTACGGACTCTGTCAGAAGAGGGAGATTTGAATCTCGACAGTGGGAGATTTGGTATAGAGCGGGTTCCCTAGTGGGACCGTTTTTTTTAGGGCCCACCACTAATTTTTTATTTTCCTGCCCTGCCCGAAGCGCGCTCCTGCCCTGTCGCGCGCCTCGAGCCTGCCTCACCTGCGCCCCATGCGCCTACCCTACCGTCGCGGCCCTGCAGTCGCGGCCCTGCCTGAAGCAGTCGCGGCCCTGCCGTCGCGGCCCCCCTGCTGTCGCGGCCCTGCTTGAAGCCGTCGCGGCCCTGCCCTGCCGTCGCGGCCCTGCCCTGCCGTCGCGGCCCTGCCCTGCCGTCGCGGCCCTGTCGCTCTGCCGTCGCGGCCCTGCCGCTCTGCCGTCGCGGCCCTGCCGCCCTTCAGTCGCGGCCCTCCCTGCAGCCGTCGCGGCCCCACCCTGCTGTCGCGGCCCTGCCGCCCTGCAGTCGCGGCTCTGCCGCCCTGCCGTCACGGTCCTCCCTGAAGCCGTCGCGGCCCCACCCTGCCGTCGCGGCCCTGCCGCCCTACCGTCACGGCCCTGCCTGGAGATGTCACGGCCCTGCCTGGCGCCGTCGCGGCCTTGCCTGCCGCCGTCGCGGCCCTTCCTACGGCCGCGGTCGCCGCCCTGCACTGCCGCCTCGTCGCGGCCCTACCTGAAGCGGCCCTGACCTGCCGGCGCGCCACGGCCCTGCCCTGCCAGCTGCGGCCCTACCCCGATCCCGCCCTGGTAAGCATACCGCCGCACCCGCGCCGCCCTGCCGAGCCGCACAGCCTTACCGAGCCGCGCCGCCTTGCCGAGCCGCGCCCCCCTACCGTGTGAGAAATTAGCGGGGAATGGGGATGACTAAGGAAGAGGTGGGTACAAGTAGGAAACCTAAAAGTGTTGTACCCCATAGTATCTACCCCACTATAGCAAACAAAGACTACAACATATATGTTTGAGACACCCCCATAGGCAAAGTGGGGGAGAACAAGAGGTCACAAGACCAGTCAAGAGGAGCAAAGCAAGCTCAGGGTGGATCACGACGTCACCACACATTCTGAGCACAAGCAAGCGGCCAAAAGGCCAGTTCACATGCAGGATTATAAATCGAGGTGAACAAGCAAGACAGTGATCACAACCTAGCAAGTGTAAGCAGGCAGGTATATATAGAGATCACAGTACAAGTAAAGTCAAGAAGTGATCAAGTGAGGTAAAGTGGGAACAAGACCTAAAACAGTGCAGAACCGCTGATGATCACAAGGCTGAAATGCCTTGGTGAAGATATCAGCAGTGTTGGCCTGAGAGGCCACGTAGACAAGACGAAGCTGACCACGCTGCTGCAACTCTCGAGCAAGGAAGTAGCGAACAGCGATGTGCTTCGTTCTGTGCTCCAGCCTCTGCTCGCGACACAAGGCAAGCATTGCCTTGTTGTCGACGTACAGAACTGGAGGAGAACGAGGCGCCTCGCCCAGGTCGGTCAATAGGTAGGTGAGCCAACGCAGCTCCTGTGCAGCCATGGCCCCTGCGTAGATCTCAGCCTCACAACTGGAGCTGAGAACAGAAGAAGAGCAGGTAGACCGCAAAGAGACAGAACCGGAGCCAAGGCTGAAGGTGTAACCCTGTGACGACCTCTGCGTAGCCAAGTCGTCAACCCAAGAAGCGTCTGCGTGACCAGTGAGAACAACTGGACCCCGTCCCCCAAGCACGAGCCCCATGCCCGACGTACTGCACAAGTAGCGCATCACCCTCTCAGCTGCCTTCCAGTGCTCTGGACGGTGTCTCCCGGGCGCAACGTAGCGTGCCAGGATGCTAGGCGCGCTGCCGCCCCTCGACGCAAGGAACGCAGGTAGGGGCAGGCCCCGGGGGAAGAGAAGGGAGAGACTGGGGAAGACCAGTGACAAGGACACGGGAGGCCATGCCTCGAAGACGAGGCAGGGAGGGGTGACCAAGGCGGTGGTGCCGGAGGAGATTCTGGTGAGACAGGAGACGACACGAGCAGGGGGCAGACTCAGGACCAGACCGGGACGCTGCAGCAAACACCTGACCCGACGCGGCTACCTGACCAGACTCAGCGACCTGAGGAGACACGGTAGAGAGGGCGTACAAGCTCGACCCAGGCTGACGGGTGAACGTGGCCAGGTGCCGGCCCGTCCGAGTACACGAACAGTGGGTCACCTGTTGACCTCCAGGAGTGAACTGGTCAACCCACGCGTCCTGAATGTCAGCTCCACTCACCAAGTTCGTGGAGAACGAGGGGAGATGGAGGCCAAACAGAGAGCCAGACGGGACCGCCGGACACGGCAGAACCGTGGAGGAGTGTGCAAGGACCAGACCCCTAGAGGTGTCAGCCAGGGAGACTACCACTGGCCGACTGAGCGGTGTGAGTGTGGTGCTGTCGCGAAAGAAGGAGCGGGAAGCACCCGAGTCAAGGGTGAAAGTGTGCAAGACCTGAGCCGACGCGGTACCTAAGAGAGCAGACTCACTAGCACCTGGAGCAGCAGACTCACTAGCACCTAGAGCAGCAGCCCCAATGCCCGGGTCGGGCGGAACACACAGGTAACAGTCACCCTCAGCACTAAAAATCACAGCATACATAGCAGCAAGGATAGCATCGTAATCAAGATCAAAGGTAGGAACCCCCGACCTAAACAGATCACCCCAGCGAGGGAGCTCCGTGGCGTCTGAAAAATGTGCACGCCAGGCGTCAGTCAGGCGGCCAAAACAGCGGTGCGTGGCGTGCGGCCCTCCGCACGTCTCCCCACTGCGCTCGCCGATGCGGAGAACGTAAGCACAAGGACCAGCACCCCCAGACCTCCCACGCCCAGCGTACCACTCACGATGCTGCTGGGGCGACAGGGTCTCATGAGGGTGCTGCTGCTACTGGCGCTGACCACCACCAGAGCCTCCGCGCTGCATAGCTCCACCCCGAGCAGTACCACCGCCGTCGCCACCCCCACCGCCGCCGCCGCCGCCGCCACCTCCGCCCCCACCGCCGCTGCCGCCACCGCCTCCACCTCCACCACCGCTACCGAAGCCCCCACCCCCACCACCCCCACCTCCACCACCACCCCCTCCACCGCCTCCACCTCCACCACCGCCGCTCCCGCCATCCCCTCCAGCACCCTTGCCCCCCTTGCTCCTGCCGCTGCGGCGCCTCCCACTGGGAGCAGACGCAGCGCCGACCGACTCGGTGCCAACGAGGTCGATAGTAGCAGCAGAGGCAACAGAGGGCAAAAGAGGGACTAGGGAGCACCCCTCAAAGAAAGGGGCACGAGGGTCACCACGAGAGGCTCCTACAGCGACTATGCACTTCTCTGCTGCCAGGAGGCGCTTTTTGAGGAGGTCAACGGTGAGTGTGGTGGGGCAAAGGGAGAGGAAGTGGTCCCTGACCGAGCGAAGGGAGTCAGGGAGCCGGGTGACTAGGTAGTAGAGAGTGATGTACATAGGGGGGGGGGTTCGCGGCGCAGAATTCAGCACAAAGTGCAGCGCGGTAGCGGGTGTCACTAGTGCGGAGGTGCGTGATGAGGTCAGCGACTATGGCAAAAGCAGCTAGGTCAGGGAACAGGTATGGCAGCATAAGTCGGCTAAGGGCAGCAGTGGCAGGGGAGGAGTAGCGCACAACAACAGCGTCGTACAGAGTCCTAGCGGTCTTGTACTGGCTAAAGTGCGCGCGCTCAGCAAACGGCAAGTGACTGCGAATGGCAAGACGGGCAGCAGCATCGCGCGTGGTCCACTGCGAGTGAACAGTACTGTCAGCATCGGCAGCAGGTGCAGCAAAGGCGCCAGACGTGAGATCAAACAGGGAGACTCCGTCCTTAGAGTCGCACTGCAGGAAAAGCTGCAGATCATCTACCCAGGCCTCGAAATCTACTGCTCGACCCTCAGCATCAAAGGTAAGGACGGTAGGGGTAGCCATGATAGCA